TATACTCAATGCTTTCATAAAAACTTCCTTGCTTTTGAAGAGAAACTTCCCTTTTTTAAAAAAGATTTATTTATGCATTCAAGAACTGGGGTGCAGGCCAGAGGTGTGGGGGGGGGTGAGAGGATTCACCAGAGACAGTGGGGAGCAGAACAGGCAGACTGACTGAAATACACTGCTGAGGGGAGCAGCGGGTGAGTCAGGAGAGGTCTGCTGAGCCATGTGGGTAACTCCCTGGCTGGGGATCAAACTCATGCTGAAGTGGCTGCTGATAGCTTCATAGGTTGTGTCTTAACCCCTTGTGCCACCAGGGAGGCCCGAAACTTTCCATTTTTTAGGGTGTTCACTGAAGTAAATGGACCAGCACACAGTGTAACATGCTGACCACCCGTAAGATAGAATAATTTCAGAAAATTTAAAAAAAAATTATATAAATAGAGGAATTGAAGAGTTGATGTTATTTATGACTATAGCAATAGAAAGTTAAGACACTAAAGATCAGCCATAAGTTAAGTGCTTTTTAAATAGAAAGTATCGAGTATTTACTTAGCCTCAGTCTGGCAGTTTGTTGCATACATACTGTTTGGTATTTTGAGTTTGTGTTGACTGAAATAATTCTCTTGTATCCATTTAAGCCAATTTGTGGAATTTAAGTGAGAAGAAAAGATTCTCTGAAGATGGATTTTCCATTTGGATTTTTGTTTTCACGAAGTGTCTGGAATTCTAGGGTGCCAACACTAGTTTGTGATTAAAGATGTTTTAGATTGTGGAACTAGGAAATTGGTTTTTATTTTTCTTGTTCTGTAGGGGGCGGGGCGGGGGGGGCAATTAGCCTTTGCTTTTGCCCTTCTGGCATTTGTCAGAAATGTGTAACTTTTGCTCCCGGGTTGTTTCACCCTGCTCTAGAGGACTGCCCTACAGTATTGGCGTAGTCCTGTTCTGCTTGCTTTATTTGGGAATTAGATTCCTTGGCATGATTTGCATCTATTTCCCACTTTTTTTTTTTTTTTTTTAAGATTTATTTATTTATTTATTTATTTATACAAGCACTGGGTACAGTCAGAAGTGCAGGAGGGTGAGAGAATTCACCAGAGCCAGAGCGGGGAGCAGAGCAGGCAGAAGGACCGAAGGACACTGCTGAGGGGAGCAGCGGGCGGCAGGAGAGGTCTGCGCGCCATGTGGGACCCTCACCCAGCCGCCGGGGATCGAGCCAGCGCCGCAGAGGCTGCGGGCAGCTTCGCAACCCAGCGCTCAACCGCTGCGCCATCGGGGAGGCCCTATTTCCCACTTTTTATTAAAACACATGGCCTGGTGATTTAAGTGTTCTGCCGTTGTTTATTCACATTAATCTTCCTAATTTTTGTCCCTAGAGTGCTTTTTTTTTCTTTTTATAATTCTGTCTTCATAGACAAAAGTGCTGATAACAATGTGAAAAAAAAAAACCTCAAAAGAAAAGATAAGCTAGAACTTGACTAAAATCAGATACATTTGCACACCACAGTGGCAGAGAAAGTCATGTCAGTTTTGAGCATAGCTTTCGTCTCACTCTTGTGGCTCCATCATTTGTGGCTCCATACTTTGCAGTCAGGAATGATACTGTACCTCTCTGTGAGCAGATTATAGTCTCTTCAGTATTTCTGCTCCAGGTTTCTCATGTATTTTGAGAGTCTAGCCTTTGCTCCTTTCGCCAGCAGGTGACTGTGCCCAAATCACTTACGTTCTTTGGAGTATGAAGTTTGCTGCAAAATGGGGATTCTGGATCTGCACTTCTGGCATGATTGTTGTGAGGTGCACATCAACTGGTGGTAGTCATGCATGGGAACACTTGGTCGTTTGTGGTGCAGAAAATCTTGTCTGTCCTATTCAGCGCAGGAGGCCCAACACTGAGCACAAGGGCGCGGCATTGGTAGACACTCTGGGGTTATTTGTGGGATAAATGAATCTGCAAAGATTGTCAGTAGCTGTTTGCCCCAATTTTCAATATACAAATGTTTCCCTTCTCTGCAGTCTCTCCTAATGTAAAGTCTCTCCTAATGTGAAGTCTCTCCTCTGTTCCTTCCCAATTTTATATAACTTACTTGAACCACTAAGCTTTTTCTCTCAAGATTTTAAGATTATCAAATACATAGTAAAGTTAATAGAATTTTATGGAGGGCACCCATAAAATAGTGTAAAAAAATAATGTATACTATTTAAACATAAAAAATAGTGTATACTATTTAAACTGAACCATTGCCATGTTTACAATACTGCTTTATCATGTATCCATCATCTCTCCATCTATTAATTCACACTAATTTCTTGATATCTCCAAAGGAAATTGCAGACATCAGTACACTTTCACCTAAATACTTGACCATGCATATTATTTAGAGTTCAGTATTTATAGTTTTTTCTTTGAATCATGCAAAATTACATACAATGAAATGTACAAATCTTAAGAGTATTCTGTGTGTTCGTTGCGATCACACTATATTCTATAGCTTGCTCATTTCATTTAAGTTTGTCTTGGAGCTCTTACCTTGCACTTGTGGATGAACCCTCATCTTCCTAACTCCTGACACAGTTTTCCATAATTTGGACAGATAAATCAAGTTTATTTAGCTACTGACAGACTATCAGATTGTCCATACTTTGCTGCAATAAATATACTTCACAGACATGTAAAATGGAGATAACCTCACTAGTAAGAAAAGAAATATAAAATATTTACCCCAAAGCAACTGACAAAAATTAAGAAAATGATGATACTCAGTGAGTAATATACAGAGAAACACTACTGGTGGTAGTTTTGGTAGGCAATTTGCAGACATCTATTAAATTTTAAATTTTCAGTGTGCATACCCTTTAACCTAGCAATTCCACGTTTAAATCTCCATCTTACCATTTAGGAGATGGATTATTATAAGGAGTAAAGTATGGTTCAAAGAAAGTGCAGATCCTGGGTTGCTTCTTCAGTGTCATAGACATGGCCTGAAAGGTAAACTCTGTCGAGGCGGATAATGTTAAATCCTTTATAAAGTCAATCATTTTATGAAAGAAATATTTTAATGGTAAAAATACAGGACATGATCCTAGAATAAAGCACAGTGCTTTGATACTTAGCCTATGAAAAACATACTACAAACATTTTTATTAGTTCCCATTTTTCTACACACTGTTCCATAGACTAGCATTTGGGGTTCTCTAAGGTAGACTAATGGTCTAATCACCCCCTTTTGCAGATAAAGAAACAGTTATTATACAGCTTCAGGTTGGAATTTGGACTAGAATCCAGGTCTTTACAGGTTCTTGTCTTTTTCCCATACATAGTTCTGTGGTGTGTGCTTCTGATCTAAATTTGATTTATATTTATGAAATACTGACTTGGCTTTTGGTTAGTGATTAGTCTCAGGTGAGTTTGGGCATTTAGGTTTCAAATCAACAGAAATGAAGACCAAACCATAGTCTAGGTTGTAGGCATACATAGAAGTAAGCTGCCAAAAAAGGCCTTTAAAAATTTTCAGTTCATCTGTTTACTAGACACATTTCCTTACCCCATTATAGGTCAGGGTTGAGTATTTATAGTAATTGACTGTTGGTTAGTAAGTCTCAAATAGCATGTATCAATCTATGTTTCCAGTCTCTTACTGTGTCTGAAAAGTTTTGAAATATTAAGCTAAATATGCTGCTTCATACTAGAAAAGCCTAGGAAAACCTAACCAGTTAAGACATTTTAAATTCTTTCCCCTCAGCATCTACAAGCAGTTTATTTTCAACTCTGGTTAACTGGGTTGCTCAACATATTATCACACTTAAATTTGGGAGAATTCTTGGATCTAAACTTTTTTTTTAAAGATTTATTTTATTTATGCGTAGAAGAACTGGAGTGTAGGCCAGATGTGTGGTGGGGGCGGCGGGGGGAGATTCACCAGAGATGGAGTGGGGAGCAGAACAGGTATATCTACTGAAATACTCTGCTGAGGGGAGCAGGGGGCAAGACAGGAGAGGTCTGCTGCTCCATGTGGGTCAGCTCCCTGGTCAGGGATTGAACTCATGCTGCAGTGGCTGGCGATAGCTTGATAGCACTGAGACTTTATTGTTTTTTTTTTAAAGATTTATTTATTTATGCATACAAGAACTGGGGTAACGGCCAGAGGTGTAGGAGGTGAGAGGATTCACCAGAGACAGAGTGGGGAACAGAATAGGTGGACTGACTGAAGTACGCTGCTGAGGGGAGCAGCGGGCAAGTCAGGAGAGGTCTGCTGTGCCATGCGGGTTGCTGCCTGACTGGGGATCGAATTCGTTTTGCAAAGACCTGGAACAGCTTCAGGACAGCTTCATAGGTTGCGTCTTAACCCCTTGCGCCACCAGGGAGGCCCAGCACTGAGACTTTAACCCCTGCGCCACCAGGGAGGCCTTTCTTTGATCTAAACTTACAATCAACAGAAAGGATATTTATAACTTGAAATTTATAAAAAGATAACATTAAAAATTAGAACCATTGTCTTCATGTACCTGTCCCGGTGCTGTTTCCATGATACCATTTAATTGTAGAAATAATCAACTTTTAAAAATTCAACTACAGTTATAGTGTAGGTTTTGAGAGGTGTTAGGAAGATGCAGTTGCATATTTTTTGTAGCATGTTAATATGTAATTAATATTACGAATGATGGTTTGTCGGGGAGAAAACTAGGAAATAAAAGAAAGATATGTTTATGAATTTTGAAATTGGAGGTTATTTTTTCAGCTTTGCAATACTAAATTAAAATTTATTTAAATTTATGTCTTGAGAAAAATAAAAATAAATTTATATCTTTGCATGATGATAGCCTGTTCATGGTGGAGCTGGAGTATGTGTGCACAAGCATGCGCTTTTACTACCAGTCACATCTCTAAGATATAATAGATTGTGGGTTGTGAGAATCGAGCCGATAACTAAATTTGGGTGACCGATCTTACATTATACGCACTATACTGCGGTATGGATTGGTTTACATGTCATTGTTTTTGGTTTCTACAGATTTTGTAGTGCATCTCTGAGCATGAGTGCAGAATGAAGCGACGTTTGGATGACCAGGAGTCACCGGTGTATGCGGCTCAGCAGCGTCGGATCCCTGGTGGCACAGAGGCTTTTCCTCACCAGCATCGGGTGCTTGCCCCTGCCCCTCCCGTATATGAAGCAGTATCTGAGACCATGCAGTCAGCCACGGGAATCCAGTACTCTGTCACACCCAGCTATCAGGTAAACAAAGGCCCACCGGTAACTAGGAGTGAAGGAAGACCACTGGTGATCTCATCGAACCAAAAAATTTTTGTTGTAAGAATTTGGCTACATAGAAATAAATAATTGCCGGATATGTGTGGGGTATAAAAATAACATCAGCAGGGCCTCCCCAGTAGCGCAGCCCATTGAGCGGGGCGCTGCGAGGCTGTCTACTGGCCAGCCAGGGAGAGTCCCACATGGCGCAGCAGACCTCTGCTATCTCCCTCAGTAGTGTACTTCCATCCTTCTGCCTGGTCTGTTCCTGCTCTGACTCTGGTGAATTCTCTCACCCTCTGCGCCTCTGACTGTACCCCAGCGCTTCTATAAATAAATCTTTAAAAAAAAAAAAAAAAAAGGCAATGCATAGCTGTGTACTCTCGTAAGTTGGTTTTTTGTTTTAAGGAATGTTGTCAGGATCTTTGCATTTTACTGGGTGTCCTGTCCTTTTTCCTTTTCCTTCCTTTCAGAAGTAGCCACTAACCTACACTTTGTGTTTACCATTCTCTTGACTTTCTTAGTGTTTTAAAATCATTTTTGTTTATATCACTAGCCAATAAAATTGTTTAGCTTGGGTATTTTTGAATTTTATAAAATGACAATATTTCCTTCCTTGACTCACTTTTGTTTTCACTCAGTCCGGTCCCTGAGACATCCATATTTTGGTGTAACTATAATTGAGTAGTTTTTACAGTTATGAATTTCATGGCTGTAACTAATTTATCCATTCTTCTGATGGTGGACTGACTGTTTCCAGGTTTTTGCTATTAGAAAGATGCTTTCTTGTATGTCTTAGGCATTCCTTCTAGTGGATTTGTACTCACAGTGGCAATCCATGACAAGATAAGCTTGAACCAAAATTTAAATCAACGCACTTTTTTTTTTTTTTAAATCAAGAGAGTCTTGGGATGTTGGGGAGACAGCTAAATGAAATAGTGTGCTTGTTAGTAGTTGGTCCACATTCTGGTGCAAATGCTGTATCTTTTTGAGACCACTCACAGGTTTGAGGGCACTTGAGGAAGAGTTTCTCATGTATTTAGGACAAGAATTGCTGGGTTAAAGAAGGTATATGTATCTTCAGCTTTCGCAGGTAATGTCAAATAGTTTTTTCAAAGTTTTACCAATTTATCATCCCACCAGTATTGTATATTCATATCATTTCTACATACTAACATTGATAATTTATGTCTGTCCTGTTTTATAAAAAATATTTGTTTCTTTTCCTCTTAATTATGAAAGTAAATATCTCCATGGTTTAAAAAACATACAAAATTTCTTCCTCTGATCCTTCAGACTGTTCGTGGATTTCTTGGGTATCCAGATTTTTGTGTGCATTTATTATAAGCATATCTAGATTTACCTACTTAGCTATCTAATAGACTTTGCCTTGTTACACACTCTGGGTCATATAGCATATACTGTGTTATTATTTGCTCTTTTCACTTAATATATATAGTGGACAAGTTTCAACTTGAAAAAAATATATATATATATGAAATTTTTGTTTAAGAATTTCTTTATTTATGCATATAAGAACTGGGGTACAGGCCAGAGATGTGGGGGGTGAGAGGATTCTCCAGAGACAGAGTAGGAAACAGAACAGGCAGATTGACCGAAGTATACTGCTGAGGGGAGCAGCGGGCGAGACAGGAGAGGTCTGCTGCACCATGTGGGTTGCTCCCTGGTCAGACAGGGATCGAACTCGTGCTGCAGTGGCTGTGGACAACTTCATAGGTTGCATCTTAACCCCTTGCGCCACCAGGGAGGCCCCTCAAAAATTTTTTTTAATTCATTGCATCTGTCAGTCTCAGGCATACTTTATTTAATTGGTCTGGAAAAGCTTTCTGCAGTCCAACTCCTTAGTGACTTTTTTAAATGTGTTTGGTACTGGGAATATAAATTGGTGTAATCTTTCTTGAGAGTAGTTTGACAGTTTGTGTCAGATCCTTCAGTTTCTTTTTGACCTAGCAATGACATTTTTTAGGAATTTTTTTTTAAGATTTATTTATTCATGCATACAAGAGCTGGGGTGCAGGCCAGAGATGCATGTGGGGGGAGGGGTGGCGGGTGAGAGAATTCACCAGAGACAGTGGGGAGCAGAAAAGGACGATGTACTGAAATACACTGCTGAGGGGAGCAGTAGGCGAGACAGGAGAGGTCTGCTACGTCATGTGGGTCACCTCCCTGGCCAGGGATCGAACTCATACTGCAGTGTCTATGGATAGCTTCATAGTGCTGCGTCTTAACCCCTTGCGCCACCAGGGAGTCCCAGGAATTTGTTTTTAATAAAAGAAGGAAATCCAGGTGAAGTAAGAAATGGTGATTCCTCAGGAGTGCCCTTTGAATTATTATAATGAGCAATCAGGACTGGCACAGAGTGAGTCTTTAAGTTAGGACTTGAAGAAAAGAAGGTTGCTTGTTTCCTTGGGTGATGACTTTTATCTGAACAGGTTCATGACTGTTTCTTGCACTTGGCTTAGTTATACCTATTCCTACTAGAAAGTATAACACGATTATGTAAAGCCAGCAATGTCAAATACTTACAAGCTCTAATTAAGTCATAAAAACATGTTCAACACATGCCTTTGAAATATAGAAACTAAGGGCCTCCATGGTGGCGCAGGGGGTTAAGCACCGCACTCTGAAGCAATCTGCAGCATGAGTTCAAACCCCGGGCGGCCAGGGAACTACCCACATGGCGCAGCAGACCTCTCCTGACTTTCCTCAGCAGTGCACTTTGGTCAGTCTGTCTGATTTGCTTCCCACTCTGTCTCTGGTGAATCCTCTCACCACCACCCCCACCTCTGGCCTGTACCCCAGCTCTTGTATGCATAAAATAAATCTTTAAAAAAAAAAAGAAATATAGAAACTAAGAATAATAGCCCTTTTTGGCAACAGATGTATTAGAGCTTTTAGAATTGTCTAAAAAAAATTTTTTTATTCCTAATGTGTTTTGAATTGTTTCCGTGGATTGGTATTTGTTCCAGTTCCCACCTTCTCCTCTGCCTGAGGTAATATTTATAAATTTGTGAGAAATTGAAAAAATTGTTCTTCAAGTTATAATACACAGCTTACATTGTGTAAAGAAAGAAAACTTCTTATTTAGTTATTTAGTCTCCTTTTTTGGAGCTATGGCAAATCAGGCATGTTGTCCTCAACAGTTCTGAGATAGGAAAATAAAAAGGCTCTAAGGGAAGGGGCTTATGCCTTAATTTCATCCCTAAACAGAACAAGCAGATCAACTGAAATACACTGCTGAGGGGAGGAGCAGGCAAGTCAGGAGAGGTCTGCTGCGCCATATGGGTAGCTCCCTGGCTGGGGATTGAACTTGTGCTGCAGTGGCTGCAGATAGCTTCACAAGGGGTTAAGGTTGCATCTTAACCAGGGAGGCCCAGAATAGAAATGTTTGAGCCCAGATTATCAATAATTGGGAAGAAATTTTTGTTTTGCTTTAAAAGTAGCAAATAAAGATAAGCAAAATAAATAAAACAAAGTAAAAATCTTCTCTGATCCCACCAACACAAGGTAAATAAAGTGCTAGTACTTTGCTATATATTTGTTGTCTATGGTTTAAATTTTTTTTTTTTAAGATTTATTTTATTTATTTATACAAGAGCTGGGGTACAGGCCAGATGCGTGGGAGGGTGAGAGGATTCACCAGAGACAGAGCGGGGAACAACAGATAGACTGACGAAATACACTGCTGAGGGGAGCAGCAGGCACGGCAGGAGAGGTCTGCCGCGCCATGTAGGACCCTCGCCGGCTGGCTGGGATCGAACCAGTGCTGCAGAGGCTATAGACAGCTTCACAGCGCGGCGTTCAACCGCCTGCGCCACCAGGGGAGGCCCTGGTTTAAAATCTTATTGTATTGTATATACTTCTTTGTAAGAAAAATTATTTAAAATTTAAAAATAAAGTTAAGGGCCTCCTTTGGTGGCACAGCAGTTGAGCCTGGGCTGCAAAGCTGTCCGCAGCCTCTGCAGCGCCGGTTCGATCCTCGGCCGTCAGCGGGGGTCCCACATGGCGCGACAGACCTCTCCTGCTGTGCCCGCTGCTCCCCTCAGCAGTGTATTTCGTCGGTCTGCCTGTTCTGTTCCCTGCTCTGGCTCTGGTGAATTCTCTCACCCTCCCACACTTCTGACTATACCCAGTGCTTGTATAAATAAATACATAAATACATAAATCTTTAAAAAATAAAAAAAAATAAAGTTAAATCTATATGTAACACGTGAATATATTCAACATGTTTGTGAACTTTTTTTCATATTAAACTATGCATTTACTAGTCAGTAATGATGTGAGCACAGAAATTAAGAAACTTGTATGGTGACTGGACATTGTAATTTTTTTTTAAAGATTTATTTATTTATGCATCCAAGAACTGGGTACAGGCCAGAGATTCTGGGGGTGAAAGGATTCACCAGAGACAGAGTGGGGACAGAACAGGCAGACTGACCGAAATACACCGCGTGGAGCAGCGGGTGACTCAGGAGAGGTCTGCTGCGCCATGTGGGTTGCTCCCTGGCCGGGGATCGAACTTATGCTGCAGCGGCTGTGTACAGCTTCATCAGCTGCGTCCTAACCCCTTGTGCTACCAGGGAGGCCCGGACATTGTAATTTTTTGTCTGTAAAATCTAGTAAGGAAAATTATAGTCCTATGTATTTTTATCTCATTTTCTTAGTAATTTATTGTAATTACATTTTATGAAAGCATAGTGGTACATGATGGATTAGAATTTAAGAAACAGAAAAATTGGACCGTCAACCATGGGTGGTTTAAGAAACCCTGGGCTATATAAGTTTTCAATAGCTGCAGAAAATTCTGTTATAATATTGGTGGGCTCTGATTTATTTCACCAATCACCTTGTGGGGAAGTTGGATTTCTAAATGACCTTCGTGTATGTAAAGATATGCACATGTCCTCTTCTGATGCATTTGGAGAAGAGTACACAGGCCTTAAAGTTTCTTATCTGTTTTCTGTATTCCATCTACTGCAGGTTTCAGCTGTGCCGCAGAGCTCCGGCAGTCACGGGCCCACCATCGCAGCAGTTCACAGCAGCCATCACCACCCAGCAGCTGTGCAGCCCCATGGAGGCCAGGTGGTGCAGAGCCATGCTCATCCAGCCCCACCAGTTGCACCAGTGCAGGGGCAGCAGCAGTTTCAGAGACTCAAGGTGGTGTTCAGCTCCTTTTCTTCAGGTTTCTCTCTCAGCAGGAAATATTGGCTCCAGCCTATTTGTAGTGGTGTTGCAACTTTTAACAGGCTAGACTAGGAGTTGAATCACAAGAAGTTTTCTGGTTTTTTTTTTTTTAAACCTACTTCAGTTTCCCACCTTAGCACCAGTGTTTGAGGCAAAGAATTCCGCATGAAGTGTTTAAGGAACGTGTGATGCATGGTACTCAAATCATAACAGGATTGAGGAACCATTTTCCTACAAAATAAACAAAAGTCCATTTTTTAGATGCTTCCCTTTGAACACTTGGTTCTTAGCATCCTAAAAGGTTTTATTGAACACACGTGGTGGCTGCAGGTCTGTATAGTAAATCAGACCATTATAAACTTAACAATTTAGTCTTTTTTTCCCAGTTTATGAATAGCTGAATTGTCTGGCATCTTCACGTCCATTCTTCATAAAACACATGCTCTTTTTTGGAGAACTTTATTAAAGTTTGGGGAATATTGCAATTGTGAATGAAGTGTCAGTGTTTTCATCTGTTCTGAGTATGTGCTTATAGGTTTTCAGTGCTTTGAAATTCATGAGGCATCTGTGGAGAACTGAAGCTTGTGTTCCCAGCTAACCTCTCTGCTTGAGTGTTACTTTTCAAAATGTGTGATTGTTGCAGCAAGTGTTCCAGATTTCAATTTTTCTAATTTTACTTTTATGTAAAATTTAAAATCAAGTATAGGAAATATTAAAGAACTATGAAGAGATTAGAGGTTAGATCTTCATTTGATCATACCAGCCTATTTATAGTATTTTGCAGGTAGGAAGGACACCTTGAAGGACACATCCAGGTGTAGCAAATATTTTGGACTTCTGTTTTCCTTGGTACTTAATCTAGCTCTCCATGTCCCCTGTCCTCATTGATTTGGAGTCTCAGGGATTGGTTTAATATTGGGCAAAGGAAATGAAATGCTCCATGAATACCAAGCATATCAAAGTTAAGCTGTGTAGAAGGATTTTGTTTGTATTACCTGAAGTAATTAAGAGTTGACTATACTTAAGCATAATCTTTAAAGAGAATACAAATTTTGGGGGCCTGACACATCGTTCTGGGCTCTTTGGGAAAATGTGTGTAGGCTTATCAGTGCTTTCCTCAAACATATTTACTCTGCTTGTAGAATGATGACTGTGTACTAAAATACATTATTGCTGTGAATTAGCACTTCTCCAGATCCTGAAAATATTTTTTAATTGATTTGCTATAATTTAAACTATTCAGCAGTTAATACCTTAATGTTGCAAAAAAAAAAACTAAGCTTGCTCTTAAATAACTAACAAAAATATATTTCTATCTGTGACCTTTTTGAGCCTGCCCTATCAGAGCACAGCACTCACTGTCCTTACAGGACTCCTGGGTATCCTTATATAGATTGCACTTCATTGAGAAGCAGGCTTTGTAGTTGGGGTTATGTCATGAAGTCACAGGTAGAGTTAGGACTTTCAGTTACAAGCTCTTGGATGTGATTCCTTAACACACTCAGTTGTTGGGTTTCTTAGCTAATGAGGAGAGAGAAAATGCTTTCTTGTGCCTCCAGGTGATTTAATTCAGTATTACCATATTGTTACCATACTTGGATCAGTCTTAAAATGTTTTACAAGCATTTGAATCAACATCAATAAACCATATATTCTATAATAAGGAAGTGTTCAGGGAGAAGTGCTTAGGTTACTTCACTCATAGACCATTGCACAATGGTTTATACTCCTTTTTTGTCTTTGGCAGATTAATGACAAGGAGGATTTGAAGCATGTTTGGTGTGATTTGGTTTTTGAATGCCAAAAACAGCTTTTTGGCACATATTTAGCAAGTTCTTTCTACAATAGTTTGTATTTGTCTTCCTAACAACATTGTGAACTTAAGAGATTAGGCACCTTGATAAATGCCTGTAGAGGTGAGCCAGGAAAATCCATCGGCAGAGTCTGAGGGTCTACCAAATGCCTCCTTAAGTCTGTAGCTTCTAAGTGACTAGTTCCAGGCTGTTTTTTCTAAGTTGTGTTTCCTGAAACTATGCACATGGTTTTATAAAGAGTACTTCAGGTAATCAGAGAATTTCCTCACTTGTTCTTTTGTGCAGGTATTTGTAATGTGAGTGTCATGGTGTGTGTTTTTTAAGATTTATTTCTATTTACTTATGCATACAGGAACTGGGGTGTCAACCAGAAATGTAGGAGATGAGAGGATCCACCAGAGACAGAGTGGGGAACAGAACAGGCAGACTGACGAAATACACTGCTGAGGGGAGCAGCGGGCGAGACAGGAGAGGTCTGCTGTGCCATGTGGGTTAGCTCCCTGGCCAGGGATTGAACTCATACTGCAGTAGCTGGCAGTATCTTGATAGTGCTGAGACTTAACCCACGTGCCACCATGGAGGCCCTATCATGTTGTATTTTTATTTTTTATTTTTCTAAAGTATTTATTTATTTATTTATTTGTACAAGCACTGGGTACAGTCAGAAGCGCGGGAGGGTGAGAGAATTCACCAGAGTCAGAGCAGGGAGCAGAGCAGGCAGAAGGACTGAAGTACACTGCTGAGGGGAGCAGCGGGCGGCAGGAGAGGTCTGCACGCCATGTGGGACCCTCCTCCGGTGGCCGGGGAGCAGACGGGGATCGAACCGGTGCTGCCGAGGCTGCGGGCAGCTTCGCAACCCAGCGCTCAACCGCTGCGCCACCAGGGAGGCCCCATGTTGTGTTTTTAAAGCAGTGTTATTTTATAATGAATTTTAAAATAGTTGCTCACTATGATCTTCAAATTCCTTTTTTCCTCCAATATACACACATCACAGGTAATTCTTTAGGTTTCTGCACTTTTTTTCTCTGTTGTAATACCACAGTGTGTTTTTTATTTTTGTAGCTCCTTTATTGTGAATGCTATTAACTGTTTGTTAAACTGTCATTAATGCAACATTTCAGTATGGAAAGTTTTGAGTATGAATTAAATAGTTCATTGAATTTCAACAGAAAGTGTCATGTTATTTGTAAAGTGCAGAAAATAAACTATCAAATGAGTGGGAACTGACCAAGTACAGATATCCCCTGCTATCTTAAAAGTACAAGCGTTCCTACTTGGCATGATTTGGTAGGTGAGATTTGGGTCTGGGACCTCTTAAGTACTATTCCATATAAATTGTCACAGCATTCCCAGACTCCCCAAGAAAACTTAGCAAACCATACTTAAATAGAAACACTACCGGTATAGTGTCTGTCTGAACATAAATGTTCTATTCACAATATTTCACAAGAGTGGGCTTGTCAAATCAGATGTCTTATGTCTGAAACTTTCCTAGGCTTGATACTTTGTATAATTTAGAATGTTAGATTTATGGGAAACACTTGGTTGTTCTTTGGAAGTCTCCTAAATAACTGACATTGTCCAAAATCAGACTTACAACTTCCTAGCCCTTCAAACCTGTTCATCTTGGTGAGTGTCCAAATAATTTGTAACTTAGTGAATACTCCCTCCCTTTAATTTCCCATAGCTAGTCAGTCCCCAAATCCTGTCAACTCTTATATCTATCACTTCTTTCTATTCTTTTAGCCAGTACTGTGGTTTTTAAAAATATTTATTTGTGCATACAAGAACTGGGGTACAGGCCAGAGGTGAGGGGGGGCAGTGAGAGGATTCACCAGAGACAGAGTGGGGACCAGAACAGGCAGACTGACTGAAATACACTGCTGAGGGGAGCAGCGGGCGAGTCAGGAGAGGTCTGCTGCGCCATATGGGTAGCTCCCTGGCCAGTCAGGGGGATTGAACTCATGCTGCAGAGGCTGCAGATAGCTTCATAGTGCCACCAGGGAGGCCCCAGTACTGTAATGCAAATCACTATTGTTGGCATGAGTTAGTCCTAGCATAACTGGTCTCCCTACCTCCTTTCAGTGATCCTAACTTTGCACCAACATATTCTCAACACTAGCCAGGCTGTGTAACTTAAGATGCAGATGAAGAAATCTCAATCACTTTTCAACAGGATTTACAAGTCCTTCAGATCTGGATCCTGCTGCTTCTCTATCATCTCTGAGACACCTGCCATCATTCCTTCTCTTTAGTGCAAATCCCCTAGCCAAACTAAACGATTTTCAGTTTTTCCAGATGTTTCCTTTCTGGGATTTTGCCTGTGCTGCTGCTGCCTCTTTTCATGTGTCTTTACTTTTGCTAACTTGTACTCATCTTTTTACTCAGTTTTGGCATTTGCTCCTGGGGAGTCTTTCCTTTATGTCTACATGAGTTTCTTTTGGTGTTGGGTTTGCCTGACCCATGTGCTCTTTGGTCATTCCCATTGTGTGGTAATTTCCAATTAGATGGGAACAAATTTGTAAAGTAAGGATTGCAGTTTGACATTTATTCCTTACCTCACATTGGGCCTGGTGTGATAGGTTTCAGCTTAGTAGATGTTTGTTATGTGAGTGAATAAGTGAATGATGTATAAATTTTATTATTCCTCACTAATCAATCATTTTTGCCATACTTTTCCAAGGCAAGGGTATAAATTTCATGAGTTGGTTTTTATTTTAAGCTCGTGTTTTATTGGCATTCATAGTAATTTTTTACACACTCGTATATTTACTATGCATCATTTGCTGTGTTAATTTTATTTGAGCATAAATCACTTGCTTTTGTGATTCTTGGCCTATTTTCTTCTGTAACTTTGAGATTTATCCCTGCCTCAGGTGGAGGATGCCCTGTCCTATCTTGACCAGGTGAAGCTGCAGTTTGGTAGTCAGCCTCAGGTCTACAATGACTTCCTTGACATCATGAAAGAATTTAAATCTCAGAGGTAAGATATATATGTGGTTCTACTCAAACTCCGTGCTTAGAACGTTGATTTTGGAGGAAGGGTAGAGCTTATTTTGTCTGCTGAAAGCTAAAAGGATGCCCCTTTTAGGGGTTTAATTTTTAGGGTCATGTTTTTATTTTATTTATTTCATTGATGAAATTATAGGTCCTAGATCGTTGTTTTCTCCCTTTTAATATATTTTTTCTTAGTTCTTAAGCAGGAAAGTAGACTGGTAATAATTGGGCTATTTGCTTTTTGAGTTAAGACACTCTAGTTCTGCATAGTTCACTATTATAAGAGTAACTCATCTAACAGTGAAGGCTCACAGCAATTTATACTGGTGTATAAAAGGCTTGCATGGGAGTTGGAGCTTTAGATTTACTGAATACCTGCTTGATAGGACTGCAGTTGTGAATTATAGGCTGCTCAAATTGTGACCAAGCCTCTTCGAACATGAAGCTAAATTTTGGAATTTTAGAGTTCTTTGTATGTCATTCATTTCCTAATATGCAAGTAATAGATTTTTATCTATTTTCCTGAATAGAACCTAGTGGAATGTGAATTTTTTCTTACTAGGATGTTTATCAAGGTTGCCACTTTTATTTATTTTTTTATCAGCATCGACACTCCGGGAGTGATTAGTCGTGTGTCCCAGCTGTTCAAAGGCCACCCTGACCTGATTATGGGCTTCAATACCTTCTTACCCCCTGGCTACAAGATTGAGGTGCAAACTAATGACATGGTGAACGTGACAACTCCTGGCCAGGTTCATCAGATCCCTACCCATGGCATCCAGCCCCAGCCTCAGCCACCACCCCAACATCCTTCCCAGCCTTCAGCCCAGTCAGCCCCAGCTCCTGCCCAGCCAGCTCCTCAGCCCCCACCTGCCAAAGTCAGCAAGGTGAGCACTTGGAAAACTTTGCATCAGGTGAAATGCATCCATAGAAAGCTTCCTTCTTTGACATTTCCCCTTATAGACTTAGGTACACAAGTTATAGTGATTTCCTCAGAGATGCAGCAATCACATCCTATGAAATGGTACCCTTTCATATACCACATATTTAGATATGTTTAAATCAACCCTCAGCAGGCCACAAGGACCCTTGCCCTCACCTTCTGCTTATTCACCATATCCGTTTCCGTAGCTGGTGACTGTCTGTATGTAGTAGCGCTTTTTCAACATGGGCAGAAATGTTCATCTTAGGAACAGATACGCTGTCTCCCACATGGCTCATCATTTTACAAAAGTTCCTTCATTTACCACATTAGGTCTTGTCAGGCCAAGCAGAAGATTGTGGTGGTGGAAGTGGTATTGATGGGGCAGTTCCTGAGCTAGAACTGAGTCTAGTGTAGCAGCCATTAGCCACATATGACTGTATTTAAATTAATTAAATATGATTTTTCAGTTTCACAAGCCACATTTCAAATGCTTAGTTACCTCAGATGGCTAGTGACTATCACACAGGACAGCACAGATAAAGAATATTACTTTTTTCTCATCTCAGTTCTATTGGACAGAGATCTTCTATTAGAAGACTTTATTATGTGGAGTTTCTGCAACATTTGAGTTGTTGTCTTTTTTGATGAGAACTATGATCTGTGTAGAGTGGGGGTTTTTTGTATTCTATTTGCACCTGTTGAGCTGGTGACCTTAGAAATTGCCTATGAAAATTACCCCCTGTAATTGGAGATGTCTTCACTTGTAAGGTTTTGTTTAGAAAATTAGAGATCAAACTATTTGCACTAGAATGTGAGATCCTCTACACACTTCCCACCCCTTCCCAGTGTGCTTTGAGTTGGGGCTAATAGCATGGCCTGGCCAGAGTGAATAAAGAATATATGAGTTGTTTAGAATCCTTCTCTTTAGTTTGAACTTTCTATGTCAAACCATCTCTGTTCCTGAGGAGAATAAAGACTTTTTTCTTTTTAGCCTTCCCAACTACAAGCACATACTCCAGCCAATCAGCAGACTCCCCCACTCCCACCATATGCATCCCCACGTTCTCCACCTGTCCAGCCTCATACACCAGTGACAATCTCGTTGGGAACGGCCCCATCTTTGCAGAACAATCAGCCTGTGGAGTTTAATCATGCTATCAACTATGTTAATAAGATTAAGAACAGGTTCCAGGGCCAGCCAGACATCTACAAAGCATTCCTGGAGATTTTGCACACATATCAGGTAAGAGAGTTGCCCTTTTAGCCTGTCCTAACCATGTCACCCTCTCAGGGCATTTAACCCAAGAGAAACTTGAATAACCATTATGTCCACTAGTTCTTACTGGAATTTAACCATTTAGAAACTGGAGTATGTTTATAAAGCCAGTTTCATTTTCCTGACTTGGGTTGCATTGTAGGATTGCCAGTTAGGATTTTTAAAGTTACTGCTCTGTGCAGTGCATGCTTGTTTATCTATGATGTTTGGGGATAACTTATATTAATCTATAGTAGAAGGAGAAGATAGATGGTTCTCTAATGCTTTATCAGTTGGTAGTGGTCCTGTGAGAATTCATGCACACTACCCTAAATTTAAAAGGAATTATTTGTCAGCTATCGTCTTCCACTCCTTTCTCAATTTAAAAGCCTATAGTTACAACAGGGTTTTTGAGCAGACTTTCTTATTACATGGAGCCAGAGTAGATAACATACAGAGCTCGTGCCAGACATCCCAGAAAGTACAACAGTTTCCCTCTAATCTGATCTCTTCCCATTTGTAATTTTCTATCAGAAAGAGCAGCGAAATGCCAAGGAAGCTGGAGGAAACTATACTCCAGCTTTGACTGAGCAGGAGGTATATGCTCAGGTAGCTCGTCTCTTTAAAAACCAGGAAGATCTGTTGTCAGAATTTGGACAGTTTCTACCCGATGCCAATAGCTCTGTGGTAAGTATTATTTAGAAGAACTGCACAATTTAGAATTGTTGTCTTAACCACTGAAAGTTCTATAACGTTATAATGTAATGTTGCTTCGATAATTAAAAAATAGGATTATTGTTTTAGATAAGTTAGGAAGCTGGAATCAGAAGGGGACTTTTTCTAAATGATACTTTAAGAACATTAATCACTTTCATGTGTCTTAATTAGCTTTTAAGCAAAACAACTGCTGAGAAAGTTGATTCTGTACGAAATGACCATGGAGGCACTGTGAAGAAGCCCCAACTAAACAACAAGCCACAGAGGCCCAGCCAGAATGGCTGCCAGATCCGCAGACACTCGGGGACAGGAGCCACGCCTCCTGTGAAGGTGAGACCTGGCTAGGGAGTGACTGCTTGTTTTGACTTTTGGGAGCAATCCTGGTGAACGAGCGAGGTAGAGTTGGTCGTGAGTTCATATTCTGATCATGTTGACAGTTGGATCCTGGACATTTGGAGTGCGTCGGTGTATGTCACAGAAACTTGGTGCAAAGTTTCTTATGCAATGCTGGAATGCCACTTCATTGCTAAGATTGCTGTGCTTTTTTGAACTCTCGATGTTTTTTTCTTTATTTTCTCTCTCTGCTATTAGCTGTCATCTGTTTTTTTGTTTGCTGCCAAGCGTTTCTGAGGCTTACTGATTATTCCCTTCTGATATGATGCTATTGATATAATCCTGCCTTGTGCTGAGATTATTGAGCTTGAGCATTGTTCCAGAAAATAAGTCTGGTCTCGGAAGTGCTTCTGTGAGTAAGGTGCAAGATCTCTGGTGTGGAGAGACCTAGCTTATTTAAGGTCCTTCGTTGGGCTGCCGGATCTTATCTGCAGGAACTTTGGGCTGTAGCAGAGGGAGGTCTTAAACTCCTGTTAGTTGCCTATCATGTGATGCTGCTTGTTAGAGTAACCACTGATGATCTGACTGCAGAAAGCTAAACCCACACCCTTATTTAATGTAGTACAGCTGTGCTAGGGAGTGGGCTAGGTGTAGGTGTTGACTATTGTTTCAATGAATTCTGAAGCAGTTTATAACATAAGAGTATCTATGTCTACAGATTCTAATAGTAAGATGACTGGTAAATTAGTTGATTAACTATAAAGACTGACATGTAGGTGGTGTTCACACTTCTGAAGGACCATTGTTTAGTGTTCGTAACAAAGTTGAACTGGCAGTAGTTTATGTTTCTATCTCTCACTCCCCCCCCCCCCATAATTTCAATTTCTTTACTTCAGTAAAGAGTAAGAGGGTAGCAAGAATAGGGTCAGCAGATAGGCTCCTCTCTTGAAATGTTCTCCTCCTACACTTGATTACTCACAGGTGGAAACCCTATATTAGGGCATTAGAATTCCCTCCCTACTCTCTCCTTCAGTACTGTAAGCAAAGACATGGCTCCTAAGAGAGTGTCCTCTGAGGTGGTAAAGGTAAATGTGCTACTTCTTCCAAAGTGTGTGCCTTTCTTCACAGATAGTTGGGAGATGACTTTTTAAAAATAATTCTTGCCGGACAGTTGTGTCATGGCCTATTCATTCCCTTGGAAAGAGCAATCTTAAATTAGTCTGAGTGGCTATTGCTGACAAGATGGTTATTCCTTCTGTTAGGAAAGTAAGTTGTGCCTTTTTCATGAACTTTTTTACTGAGCTATAATTAAAAGTTAAAGATAGATTTCTGTTCACTCAAAGCAATGTACGCTGGCCTCTTCTGCCTGCCTCCACAACTAGAAAGATATGGTGTGAGATGAGGTTCCAGTAGCACAGTAATCCTTTGACCATTTGTATAGACTATTTGGGGAGTAGAGTGACCCGTGAACTCTGGAAAAAGAAACTGACAGGCAAATTGAAATATTGAAGATTGTTGGAAGCGAATTAGTGACTTGAATTCTCTCATTTGTTGCAAATTATTAATCAGTAGTAGTGATGAAATCATTGAGCAGAGATGAAAATAAAAATCAGAGAAATCCACTCATCGTTTTTATTTTTCTTTTTGCAGAAGAAACCCAAATTGCTCAGCCTAAAGGATTCTTCAATGGCAGATGCCAGCAAGCATGGTGTAGGAACAGAATCATTATTTTTTGATAAGGTGAGTAATGGATAAATTAGATTTGATATCAATTACTAATGCCAAAAGAACAATCACCCTGTCCTCAAGAAGCTCTTGTGTTAGAGGCATCAAGCTGATTAGGACTTCCTTTTAGTTTTTTAATTGTATTTTTTGTTGAGGTAATGGTTTTACAAAACTATGATTTAGGGGGTATAGATTTTCAGATAGGACTTGCTGCTTTTTAACATAGTTTCCAGTTGTAGTTCCTTTCATTCTACTGTAACCACTAGCATAACTAGAGCAATGGTAGCATTTTCTCCTTTGGTTTTGTGAAGTAATTGCCAGTAATTTACAGCTTTTTTCCCATGATGCTTAAAGGTAGCTTTTAAGAAAAAATATACATCATAATCCTCTGTAGAGATGTTTGGAGTTTGGAGCTCCCTGTTGTATAAATATCCAGGTCCATACAAATCTCTACTAATTGTTGAGGATTTAAGGTGACTTACAATCTTCTACTTGGTTGTGATACTTGTATCATCACATATAGGTTTTATGGGAATTGTGATTTGTTTTCAAAGCTCCCTGGGTGATTCTCATGGGCAGTCATAGTTGAGATTGCTGGTGTAAACAGTGTTGGACAGTGGGTTAGTTTTGCTCTCCTCCTGTGTCTGACTTCCTTCTCAGAGTTAACTTGATGAATAGCAAGTTTGTTTCCTCAGAGCAGCTGGTAACTGTTGGACATCTGTCTTGCTGGCAGGAACCAGCTTGGACTGATTGGGTGATGATTTGCCCTTGTCTTGCACCTCTGATTTTGCGAATGATTTAGCATCTCTATGATTGGTGCCTCCATCTCTCTCTAGCCTGCTGCCTGCGAAACAGTCCTGACTCTGACGTGAAACATCTGAGCGTTGCCTTGGTACTTTCAAGGCAGATGTAGAAGCCCAGGTCACAACCACCAGTAGCAAGGAGAGGATAAAAGAAGGAGGGCCTGAATAAATGAATTATTTTAAAGATCATGGGATTTTTAAAAATATTTCTTTGAAATACACACTGAGATATATCTAGAGGAAATGTCTGGAATTTGCTTTAAAATTCAGTATTGTTTACCTTATTATATATTGATCATTGAGGCTAGGTGAGTATGTGGGGTACATTAGACTATTCTGTCCACTTGTGTTTAAAAGCTAAGAAAAAATTAAAAGAAAGAATATGGTAGATTGTATAAAAAGGGCAGCGCTCTTGATCTTTGACTTTCACGGTACATACTCCATATAGCTTCTACTAATTGATATTAACGAAAAGTATGAGGCCATCTGGAGAGATTATTGATAAACCACTTGGTTTGGTGAGTCTCACTAAAGGACTGCAATGCTAAATACTTTTGAAACGAACTCCAGATTGCTTATCTAGCCTGGCTAGTTTTACTTTGTGTAGCCATTGAACATTTTTAAGTTTTTGGATATTAAAATGCTCAATATTATATAAGGAGGAAGGAAACGGATCAGGTCAGAGGACAGAAATATCTTATTTTAAAAGTTAAACCTTACAAGATTGAGAACATTGTTGACAAAGATTCTTGTTGTAAACCTCTGTTAGGGAAGGAAGCAAAAGTTTGAGAAACTGATAGGGCTCAGAGAATCAAGAATATGAGAAGATAACTGTCTTATTTACGATAAGACTAAAATTATTGCTGGAAATTTGAAACGTAAGTTAAAGAGAATAGCCGAAGGACCCCTCAGATACTCATCATCAGCCTTCAGCTTCGTCACCCAGGAGTGCACTGGAGGAATGCAGTACTCTTGGCCCCTTACTGTTTGCATATTTACCCTTATCCACCCCAGATTATTTGGAAACAAATACCAGATATGCTATTTCATCCATAAATATCTTACTGTTTCCTTTTAAAATGATACCTATTTTCAAGCATAATTATATCAAAAAAACTAAGTGATTTATTAGTATTACGAAATACCAGCTCTTATTTCCCTAGTCTTTTAAAAAGCAGTCTAGGATCTCTTGGTTCCCCACTTAACTGTTGTTGTTTTTTTTTTTTTTTTTTTCCTGGTTGTGTCCATTAGGTGCGAAAGGCCCTGCGGAGTGCAGAGGCTTACGAAAATTTCCTGCGGTGTCTTGTTATCTTCAACCAGGAGGTGATTTCTCGGGCTGAGCTCGTGCAGCTAGTCTCCCCTTTCCTTGGGTAAGTGGAATGAGGCACTTAACTCTGATGGATCATATGGAGGTGAGGTGATAACTTTGTGAGAGTACATGATAGTAAAATTAATTTGATTGTGGTGAGTCAGTTGGTTCATAAAATGTCAGTGTTAAAGGAGTTAACTGGTCAGTATTTTAGTTCAACTCTAGAGATGGAACATAGGCAGAGAGGGCATTTACTGATCCCCTGACCAGTGCTTCAGAGTTGTGGAGGCCAGTTTCTTCCAGGGTTCTAGAATTCTGACTGTATTTGACAACCTAAGAATTGTCTGAACATTGAAACTGTATTCTTAGTTTGAAGAATCACTAGCTATTTCTAGTTTCACTGCAACTCTTCCAACACTACCTTGACTGACTTAGAGGATTCTACAGGAAAGGGAAGTCAGATGCTCGGAAGCAGTGCTTCTTAGGCAAGAAATAATAACTGTCATTGGAATTTGTCCCTGATAGCCGAGTTCTGATCCAACACCAGATAGTGGTAGTCATACCTTAGGATAACTGCATTATGCTTCTCATTACTCACCAGTTTTTGGTTTGATTCTTCAGGAAATTCCCTGAATTGTTTAATTGGTTTAAGAACTTTCTGGGCTATAAGGAGTCTGTACATCTGGAAACCTTTCCAAAGGAACGAGCCACAGAAGGCATTGCCATGGAGATAGATTACGCCTCTTGTAAACGGTTGGGCTCCAGCTATCGAGCCCTACCAAAGAGTTACCAGCAACCCAAATGTACCGGACGGACTCCTCTCTGTAAGGAGGTAAGGTCTTCTCTGGTAATGATTAGCTGAGCTTCCTCCAGAAGAGGGTGGTACCGGGATAGAGAATTTATATGAGAAGGAAATCAAGACCTTTCTCTCCGTTCATGAGAAAGTGCTTTACACTTAACATTCACAGTCTTTTTTTTCTTTGTTTATTTTTTGTGTAGAAGAACTGGTTGTGTAGGCCAGAGGTACGGGGGTAAGTGTGGGGGGGTGAGAGGATTCACCAGAGACAGAGTGGGGGGCAGAACAGGCAGACTGACTGAAGTACACTGCTGAGGGGAGCAGTGGATGAGACAGGAGAGGTCTCCTGCTCCCTCTGTGAATTAGCTCCCTGGCCGGGGATTGAACTCAGGCTCTAGCAGTGATAGCACTGAGACTTAACCCCTATCCCACCAGGGAGACCCACAACCTTTTCTTTACCAGCTGCTTTTGTAAACTTGCTAGTGAAATTTATGTTAACTGTTTTTTTCCTCCCCTACAGTTTTGTTTGTCTTTTTATTGAGCATGCTTAATTATCATGAAACTTTGTTATGCTTTTATTTCAATCTCTCTTCTTTAACCCCAAGGTTTTAAATGATACCTGGGTTTCCTTCCCTTCCTGGTCTGAGGACTCCACCTTTGTTAGTTCCAAGAAAACTCAGTATGAAGAGCATATCTATCGTTGTGAAGATGAACGCTTTGAGGTACAAGTTCCTTACCATTTGAAATTTGGGGGAATGGAAGATGCTAAATGATATCTTAAATATCTGTTAGGATTGGCTTTTTAATACTGAAAAGCCAAAGACTCATATATTTCAGTGGTAAATATTTGTATGGCAAATGTGATTTTATTCATTGATGGCTAAATAATAATCCTTTGAGTTTTTAATGGTATTTTAAAGGTTATTATGTTTTATGGGTGTATAAAACCAGTATCTCAAGGCCCACTGGGCTTTTTTGAAGCTCTTGTAAGTTATTTTAATGTATTGTTGTTTTTAGCAGGTTTCTTAATATGGTTAGCAAACCAACTCTCCTGTGAGAACTGGGATTCTCCCATATTTCTGGTAGTGATTTGACTCCTTTGAGAAAAGGGGAGAGTACAGACTTGAAAGTAATTGGAAAGGAAAGAACATGAATAAAGGTGATGGTAGAGAATCCCTGTATCAGGCTTAGGAGTACTAACCATGGACTCAGAATCCCCAGGGGGTTTTGATGTCTAGGGCACTGATACTATCAACAAAAGGGATGTTGTGTCTAAAAAGGCAAAATTGCTTGTATCCTTTTTAATGTATTATATAAAATTTACCTGCCCTGCTTGTTCATTAAGTATTGTTAGCTGATGAGTTAGAAATTAGAGACTGGCATCCTTTTTTGATAGGATGTTCCTGTTCTCAACTGACATGCATGCCTGCAAATGAGAGACAGCATCAGTTACCATCCATGATTACAGGAGTGATGGTAGATATGTGCTTAGTGATGAAGTGTGTGCTTAGGATTGGCTTGGATGGGCTTGTTTGAAGAAACATTCCTTCTGTGTGTTAGGCTAGGTTAGTAATCCTGCAGTATAGATAATTCCCAGATCTTGGGGACTTGAAAAAATAGATTTACTTCTTGACCATGCTGCATGTGCATTGATATTTAGCACATTAGGATTGTTTGGGGACCAGGACTGACAGAATTCCACCATCTGGAACATTGCTGGTAATGATAGGTCACAGAGCGCAGAAGGATCTTGAACCCTTAAATTCTCTAGCCTACAAGTGAAAAACATTACTTTCATTCACCTTTTACATTTCATTTCTCAGAACTAGTTACTGGACCCAGTCCAGTCACAAGGGAGCCGGAAAGTTCAAGTCTTTATTTGTCCATAATTAAGGAGAAGTGGGGCTGAAATATTTGACAGAAAGGCCTGCCAGGCCCCAACTAGAAACCTCAGGAAATGCTGCTGCCTACATATGGTTGTAGGCCCCTGGGGCTGCTCATTTACTACTTTTTCTGTTTTTCACTTAGAGTCTTGTGTTAAGTCTAAGAGAAAAGTAAGCTAGAAGGTCGCCAGTAATATCCTTAACCAGGTCAGGGTAGGCCCTTGTTAGAAAATTCTGCAGGGGAAGGAGAGGAATCAAAACAGGGAAGGGAAGAGCACAAGAGACTATGGCGATGGTTCACGGGTGAATCAGTGATAGGAATTTTATGGGAACTACACTTGAAATCAAACATTGTACAAAAATGAACAATGAGTTAAAAAAAAGGTATATCTATTTTTAAGAAAATAAGGGTCAAATTAAATAAGAATGTAAATGGTTATATACATGTAGAAGGTTGAACCTCTTAAGGAATGATAGTCACTGCTCTTAGGGCTACTGAATGTGGAACAAATTTACTTCCTTAATATTTCAAATTACCCTGAAAAACTTTAACGTCAAGACTGATCTTTTTACATTTGGGGGATTGTTTTAACTATTATTGTTTGTAACATCTGAGCAATTCAGGAATATTCAGGGAAAGTGTAAGGTTGCCTCCCCTTATGTCCCTCTGATCTGAGGTATGCAGTCCTGAACAATGCACACAGTGGTGATGGTAGAATAAATACTACTTAGCCACCATTTTGTTTATTGGATATTTGTAGTCTGCTGGGCATTGCACTAAACCTTTTGTGAATTGTGTCATTTAACCCAGAAAACAGCCATAGGTGCTGTTATCCCTGTTCACCGATGATAAAAGTTTTATGTTGCTAATAGAATAGCCAGGATTCCAGTCCGGGCAATTTAATTCCACACCTTACACTCCCGGCCACTGGCCACAATTTTATTCTGGTTTGGGTCCTAGCAAGCTTTGTCTTTTTTTCTTTAGCTTGATGTAGTTTTAGAGACAAATCTGGCAACCATCCGGGTTCTGGAAGCAATACAGAAGAAGCTTTCTCGTTTGTCTGCTGAGGAACAAGCCAAATTTCGTTTGGACAACACCCTTGGGGGCACGTCAGAAGTCATCCATCGAAAAGCACTCCAGAGGATATATGCCGACAAAGCCGCAGACATCATTGATGGGCTGAGGAAGAATCCCTCCATCGCTGTGCCGATCGTCCTCAAAAGGTACCTGAGTGAATGTGCCCTTTCTGCTTTGGTGTGCTTCAAGGCAAATTCCATGTCCCGGTGAAGAAGGCCCTCGCTTCAATCTAGTTATCCAGGAGAATTCTTTCTTCCCAGTCATGATTGATGGACACCGGGTGTGATATGGGATGGTGGTGTTCCTTGATGGCGTCCAGTGTCACCAGCAGTAGAGAATGAGCAGAAAGTCCATGCTGGAGTGCTCTGTGTGTGTGTGTTTTTTTTGAAGTCTATTTATTTATGCATACAAGAACTGGGGTACAGGCCAGAGGTGCAGGGGGTGAGAGGAGTCACCAGAGACAGAGTGGGGAGCAGAACAGGCGGATCCACTGAAATACACTGCTGAGGGGAGCAGCGGGCAAGACAGGAGAGGTCTGCTGCGCCGTGTGGGTAACTCCCTGGCCGGCTGGGGATCGAACTCATTCTACAGAGACTGTGGATTGCTTCATAGTGCGGTGCTTAACCCCTTGCGCCACCAGGGAGGCCCAGATAATGCTGGTTTTGATTTTACTCTCCTCTTCTACAGCATGGGCCATTCATTTATTTTCACTAGAACTTTCCAGACTGCCCAAGGGAACATTACTGTAAAAGTGTTCTGCTTTTTTACATTAGCATAGTAAATGTTCTTAGAAGTCCTTACAGCAAAGAGACATACTTAACTTTGTTTTAGCTGGCCAAGGAAGAGAACCCCTTTTCCAGGGGTGAAATACTGTTTGAGAAATAACTATTCTAGGTAAGATACCTAACTTTTGGACAAATTACTTTCCTAAAATAAACCCTGAATGAATAATTTCCTAATGTAACGGGGTTCAAAATTGGCTTGAAAAACATCTCTCCCAAGTTGCCAATAATTTTTTTTTTTTAAGATTTATTTATTCTAGAAAACGTAAATAAGGGACCAGGAAAAAGAATAACTATAAAGAAAGAAAATATCGAAATCAACAAACAACTATGAACCAGAGACACTCTATGGGGGGTGGGGGGGCAGGGAAAGGGGGATTGGGGTCAAAATAAGGGGGTTGTAATTGTATGGGGAATATAAAAATAAAATTTAAATAAAAAAAATAAAACAATGAACCGGAAAAATAAATAAATATTTATTTATTTATGCATACAGGAGCTGGGGTACAGACCAGAGGTGTGGGGAGGGGGGTGAGAGGATTCACCAGAGACAGAGCGGGGAACAGAACAGGCAGATTGACCGAAGTACACTGCTGCGGGGAGCAGCGGGCAAGTCAGGAGAGGTCTGCTGTGCCATGTGGGTAGCTCCCTGGCTGGGGATTGAACTCGTGCTGCAGAGGCTACAGATAGCTTCATAGGTTGTGTCTTAACCCCCTTGCGCCACCAGGGAGGCCCAAGTTGCCAATAATTTTTTTTGACAGACATATATTCTGACTTTTCAAGTAAAGTACTCCTGACATATTTCTCACTTATAAACCCTTTTGAGAGTAGGTGCTATTTTCCTTGTTTTACTGATAAAGAAACAGTGTTATGTAGCTAGAGAGCAGAGCCAGGATTCCAATACAAAGGAGTGTGACTCCTCATCTTATAATTCCCATTTCTTGTTTCTACCCTCGCTGCAACCCACTAGGTTGAAGATGAAAGAGGAAGAATGGCGAGAAGCTCAGAGAGGCTTTAACAAGGTGTGGAGAGAGCAAAATGAAAAATACTACTTGAAGTCTCTGGACCACCAAGGCATAAACTTTAAGCAGAACGACACCAAGGTCCTGAGGTCTAAGAGCTTACTCAATGAGATTGAGAGTATATATGATGAGGTGAGCTGGAGAAGATTCATAGGTTTGATTGCTTACAGGTTTGAAATTTTACCTTTGTTAAACTAAAGTGAGACTCTCTAAGACCTGTTGATTCTTGCTTCATAATGCTCGTGGGTTTCTATTCCTGATTCTACCATTTAAGTTTAAGCTTTACCTTTATACCCAGGGCTGTTTATACTGGTTTCCCAAATTACTATCCTGGTTTCAGTTTACACCATTCCTTCCACTTTTCTCCTTATCAGTTTCCCTTCAATAGTACCTTTGTATTCATTGATACAAACTGTCAGTTTCCCAAAAATTAGACGCTTTTCACTGATTCCCAGACTTCTCCGATCCTTGTTTATTTATATTTATCAGGATCATATATCATACAGGGATCTAAGATACAGAGATGAGTAAGAAATTAATCTTGCTTTCTGTGAACTCATAGTCTTAGGGGATGGACAGAAACAGAAATACAATGTGGTTGAGAATTCCTGGAAGAGATAGATCCTGAATTTTAAAAGTGTGTCATTATAAAAATGTCAAGTACACATGTAAAGGGACTAAGAATAATAAAATGAGCTCTTACGTAAACTTACATAATTATCTCTATTTTGCCACCTTTGTTACACCTGTGACCTTCCATGCTCTCACCCCAGAAATAGATGAAAGTAAATCCTGGACTTCGTACTGTGCCCTCTAGAAATGCTCACCCAGGATGTTAGAAGATGGTCCCATTTCTGTCCCATTCGTCCCCCTCTAAGTCTTGAAAGTCTAGTCGGTGCCAGTATTTTGGTATTAAACCAAATCTCCCACTTCACTCTTATTTCTGGAAGAGCACAACAACTTGTTAAGTCGGGTCCTAAGTTTGGGACTGGAAAAATCTAGCCACTGTGGTTAATAATGGAATGTGTTATTGGTGTGATCTTGTAGGTCTGCTTGTTGTAGTAGATGTGTCACATGATATTTGTGTGTCTCCTATCAGAGGCAAGAGCAGGCTACCGAGGAGAATGCTGGTGTACCCGTTGGCCCACATCTCTCACTTGCCTATGAAGACAAACAGATCCTGGAAGATGCTGCTGCCCTGATTATCCACCATGTGAAGAGGCAGACGGGCATTCAGAAAGAGGACAAGTATAAAATCAAGCAAATCATGCATCATTTCATTCCAGATCTGCTCTTTGCTCAGAGAGGTGATCTCTCAGATGTGGAGGAAGAGGAAGAAGAAGAGATGGATGTGGATGAAGCCACAGGGGCAGCTAAGAAGCACAATGGTGTTGGGGGCAGTCCCCCTAAGTCCAAGCTACTGTTTAGTAACACAGCAGCTCAGAAGTTGAGAGGGATGGATGACGTATACAACCTCTTCTATGTCAATAACAACTGGTACATTTTCATGCGACTGCACCAGATTCTCTGCTTGAGGCTGCTGCGAATTTGTTCTCAAGCTGAACGGCAAATTGAAGAGGAAAACCGAGAGAGAGAGTGGGAACGGGAAGTGCTGGGCATAAAGCGAGACAAGAGTGACAGCCCTGCCATCCAGCTGCGTCTCAAGGAACCTAGTGAGAGTCTACATTGTGGGGCACCAGGGTGTGTGGGCGGGGCCTAGGACTGAGTTAGCCTCTGACCCGCTTGCTTTTATTTAGAGCGCAAGCAGGCCTGGCAGTTCCAAATGGGTTCCTGAGCCTAGATTTAAAATGCACTGGCTGTGTTAGAACCTATTTACCTAGCAGCCGCAGGTGCTGCTTGTTATTTTGTGAAGTTGTGAGAATTAGAGAAAACGCACACAGCGTGCGGTCCAGTGAGTGGTGCTGTAGACTTGGAGAGGAGGGAGCTGGACTGGGTGTGTCTGCCACATCACCTCTCCAGCGGCAGGTCACTGGGTTTATTGCAGTGTTTCATGTCTGTTCCTCTCCATGAAAGAACATAAATTTCCAGTTGTTTGTACCCATGACAGATGTGAATTTTCTAAGATATGTTTGGGTGGGGCTTCTCTTTAGCTGGCGGGGTTCATGGCTTATGTCTAATAAACAAATCGTTTATGGAAAGGAGATGCGCTTTCGGGAGGTGGTGTGAGACAGCAGTGACAGGAGGAACAGGAATGAAGATAGAGACTCAGGAAAAGGGAAATAGTGTTAAGAAAGCCTCTTGCACAGGCTTCCTAGTTCACAGTTCACTTCCTAAATTAGGTACTTAAGCTGTGAGCAAAATGTCTTCTGTGCTCTTGAGGAAATAGCCAGTCTGTGGAGTGAATTACCTTTTTTTTTCATTTCTTAACTGGCTAATGTCGAAGCCATGTGTGCACCTCGACTTCTTTCCGAGGAGCTAATAAAACTGGACGTTAATTCTGAGAGCCTTTACCTAGGTTGAGAGAGACAGCTTTTTGGGGCTTTGGTGTGGTGATTCCACCTGTTTGGGCAGAACTGAGAGAAAATGGCTTAATCCAGGCTTGGGCACTGATTCATCCTGGGTTGAGGCTGGCATAGTTTGGCCTTGAGTGATCATGCCAAGCCTTACGCCGATGGTCTCTCTTATGGACAAGTCTGTGGCTTTATACTCATAGCTTTATCCTGGCACGAAAGCAGGTCCCACAGCAACAGCATAGCCCATGACTGCTGGGAGGCTGAACAAGGTGACACTCTCTGAGCAAACTCAGCCAGTTGCTTCTTTTAAACAGTCATCAGTCCCGTTTTGCCTGTTACTAATGAGTCCATCAGACTTTGGGTAAGTGGTTATGGACTCGGCATTTGCTTTCAGCCTTTCCCCCCAAGTATAGATTTTACTGACAATTAGTAGATGACAAAGAGTACCTTTTTTTTTTTTTTTTTTTTTTTTTTATAGAGGCATGCTTTATTTATTTGTTTGCTGGTTTGTTTGTTTGTTTTGTTTATACATGCACTGGGTACAGTCAGAAGCGCGGGAGGGTGAGAGAATTCACCAGAGCCAGAGCGGGGAGCAGAGCAGGCAGAAGAACCGAAGCACACTGCTGAGGGGAGCAGCGGGCGGCAGGAGAGGTCTGCTCGCCATGTGGGACCCTCCTCCGGTGGCCGGGGAGCAGCCGGGGATCGAACCGGCGCCGCAGAAGCCGCGGGCAGCTTCACAACCCAGCGCTCAACCGCTGCGCCACCGGGGAGGCCCAAAAAGAGTACCTTTTTTAAATTATAGTCAACTTTTTTTAGAAGTGCAACATCTGTACAGAGAATTATACTAATCCAGGTTGTAGGTAGCTTCATTGATAGCACACCCGTGACCCGATCTGTTTCTGATCAAGAAACAACACTTAACCAGTACTCCAGTGCTCCCCTCCTGCACTGCTTGGCTTTTGGACGTGAGGTTAGGTTTGCCTGTTTTGACCTTTATGTAAATGGCCTTATTTTAGCAAGGCAGAGTTCTTTTGCCTTTCTTTGTCTACTCCCTGCTACCGCTGGTACAATTTTTAGCTGGTGGTTGAAGTGATTCATGTGCAGCAAATACAGGTCACTTAGTGCAATTTGTGAAGTACAATGTTAGGAATCCATTTTTTAAAGAACGGACTTTGACAAATGTAGATTATTTCATTATTCATAGAGGATTTGACTTGCGCTCCTATTTTCTGTTCCCGAGAGATTTCCCAGTGCTAGTGGATGACTACTTGCCTTTTTTCATCTGTTGTTTATGCTTCACTGAAAGAGCTTTATGAGCAAGTGACCATGTGAGGAGAGCAAGTTTCTCTCTCAGCAAGCAATCAACTTTTTAAAAAAAATTTTCTAAGGATTTATTTATTTATGCATACAAGAACTGGGGTACAGGCCAGAGGTGTGGGGTGGGGGGAGAGGATTCACCAGAGACAGAGCGGGGAACAGAACAGGCAGACTGACTGAAATACACTACTGAGGGGAGCAGCAAGGAGACAGGAGAGGTCTGTTGTGTCATGTGGATAGCTCCATGGCCGGGGATCGAACTTGTGCTGCAGAGGCTGCGGATAGCTTCATAGGTTGCATCTTAACTAACCCCTTGCGCCACCAGGGAGGCCCAAGCAATCAACTTTTTGAGGAAACTTCTTCCCCAGGAAATTTTGCTTTCCTAGTATGGAGAGCCCAGTCATGCTCTAAATAAGTGCCTTTGTGTTGTGGTCAGTGTTGGAGCTCTGGGAAAGTTGCAGAGTCACTCTCTTCTGCTGGACAACAGGGGTGAGTGCAGCCACCTGTCAGAGTTTGTCTCTGTCTGCAGCAGAGTGAGTGATAAGTCTTGAATACCTAAAATTTGTTCTTTCAGATGTCTTTAGGCTAGCTGTGGGGGTCTGTTCCCTCCCGATCCTTTCTTAGCAGGGTAAGGCCTGACCTGTTTTGTCTCTCCTACAGTGGATGTTGATGTAGAAGACTATTACCCAGCTTTTCTGGACATGGTGCGGAGCCTGTTGGATGGCAACATAGACTCATCACAATATGAAGATTCTCTGAGAGAGATGTTCACCATTCATGCCTACATTGCCTTCACCATGGACAAACTTATCCAGAGCATTGTCAGACAGGTGAGAATGTTGCCAGAGGCAAGAGTTGGTGAGAGGTCAAGTCCTTACCGAAAAATGGTTGGGCAAAGAGAAGATAGCAAGATATCTGTTGGAAAAAGAAGGGCAGTTTTCTGGCCTCCCCTGGTGGCGCAGGTGGTTGAGGGCTGTACTGTGAAGCAGTCCGCAGCCTCTGCAGCGCTGGTTCGATCCTGGCCAGCTGGCGAGGGTCCTGTATGGTGGGGCAGACCTCTTCTGTTGCACCCACTGCTCCCCTCAGCAGTGTATTTCGTCAGTCTGCCTGTTCTGTTCCCTGCTCTGTCTCTGGTGAATCCTCTCACTCTCCTGCGCATCTAGCCTGTACCCCAGTTCTTGTATAAAAATAAATCTTTAAAAAAAAAAAGGGGCAGTTTTCTCATATAACGATGTTTATAAGCATACGGTTCTGTGGAGAAGGGTGTAGGTTAACAGGATGTTGGATTTATCCTGTTAACAGAGTGGGAGTCGTTTCAGGCACATAATTGACTCCTTTGCTTTCTCAGCATGCCCTCAGTAGTGGCACCTACATGAGCGCTGAGGCTTTGCCCCTTGCTGGATGCCTATAGAGCAAGCAGTGGTCTTAACGGCCAAGCTGCCTGCTTTCCTGTCCTGACAGCCTTGTTTTTATTATGTGCTGGGGGTGACCTTTCAGCAGGTAGCATGTTCCTCTCCTTCAGGTATGCTTATTCCATGTCCTTTCCTTATTTACTCTCTGAGGTTCTGTGTGCAGGAAGGGTTTTGTATAATGCCTTTTACCATATTTTGCCTACCTCATAGCTAAGGTTTCCCCTAAGTGGAATTTGTGGTTGAGTTGTGGTTATTCCTGTGGCAGCCTGGGAACGAGTATGTTGTTTTCCACAATGATGATCGTACAGCAGACGGCATGTATTCTCATTTCCACTCCTTTGCACTGAGTTCTGAACCTTCCAAGGAGTTCAGAGTCTGTTATGGGTAAAAAAAAAGAAAAAGAAAAAGAAAAGAAAATTCATTTCCGGAGTCTATGTTGACATTATAGAAAGACTTGTTGCTAAGAACCTTCTTGGAGTTAAATATGGAATCCTTTGCAAAGTGCCCGTACTTTTGCCTTCACTTCAAAAGAATGTATGACTCTGCACTGCTCCCGCAGTGTATCAGAGTCAGACTCAGTTCACATAACCGAGTCTTGGCATCTACACAAATAGGCAGTTTTTTTCCTTGAAAGTTGAAAAAGTTATTAAGTCTTCCCTAATGGAGGTCTGTATGTGACTAACAGAAATTACTATATGAATACAGCTAGCTATCATGATCATCTTTGAGAGACTAAATCCTCTTACGATACCCTAAACTTATATAAAGACTTCAGTTACCATGTGCTTACGTTTCTTCTTACAGGTGTGCTGTTTGCTACACTGAAGGCTTTCATACTCTCAGCACAACTTTAAAAAGCCAGTGAAACAAACTTATCAGCCTGAAGTTGGTTTTTAAAACGAGATTAGTCCCTTTACCAAAAACGCCTAGTTAAGATTTTGAGTCAGTAATATATAATGTTCTTTTTATGGAATTATGTTTTATCCAGAAACCCAAATCCAGTGTTTTAAAAACATGTTTGTGTTTTTCATCTTAACTCCTCAGAGGCATTTCTTCTCATTCTCCTTATCTCTTTTGATCTTCCAGAGTTTGTTGCTTACTTGAGGAAGAACATAGATGCAAGGTCAACCATATGTTTTCTAGGCCTTTTCCAGATTTAAGAGGGATTTATCTCAAGAATTGAGTAGAATCCAGATAGTACAGAACTCAAAACACTGGCAGACTGTGCAGGGACTAGACTGGGAAGGTTTTTGTCCTCACTTGCATGCCTTTCATCTGGACATCTCCATTCTCCTCCTCCTCTCTGCAGATGGACAGTCAGCATGTAGTTATGGCTTCTCCAGTCCCTTGAGCTCTTGCTTGCCATGGCAGTGCCTTGACTCCTGCATTTTTTGACCTTTTTCTCCAGATGTCTGATAGGCACATTGACTTGCCACTTTAAATTAGCAGGAGAGAATCTGACTGGCTTAGCCTGGGGGTGGAGTTGCCTAGTTGTCCTTGGGCTTATAATGCTACCCTTTACAAAGACTCTAGGAGGGGTCAGGTATGCAAGAAGAGGGTGTGAGTGGGGAGGCATCTGCTTCAAGAAAGTAAAAAACAGAAGTATCTGTAGGGTAGAGACCTACTTTAGGTAAATGTTTTACACTTTGTCTCTCAAACACTTTTATCTTAGGTTTTTCCCTGTGTTACCAAATCATCATAAGTATTTTAATTGTCACATAGAATTCATTGTTTGGACTAATTGTAATCTATTTAACCATGTCTAGTTGCTCACCTTCTGCCCCTCAAATCATTCACCCTTCTGACCTCACATGGTCCGCATATATCCATAAATACACATACTTTTCATTTAAGACTTTCTTAAATATTAAAAATAAGTAGTTGTCATAGTTACTAGCACTTCAAAAAGAATGTATCTTCCTAAAAATAGAAAGCCTTGGTGGTTATGAGAATTTGAAAGTAAAATAGACAAATTGATGTTACAATTAATGTTTTCCTTTATTTTGTATCTGTTGCTCACTGTCTTTGATACTTTAATGGGTTAAAGCTTCACTTACAGGGGTTTTCATTCACAGTAGAAATATCCTCTTACCTATGAGAATGGGAGCTCCGAAAGGTTCAACTTGCTAGTCATCAGGTAGTTTAATAAGATAGTCGCAGAAGTTACCAGCAGTCAGTTGTGATTGACCTGCGTTGGAAATGAGTAATTAACATTACATATATTTTAAGTCGTGTGCTTTCTGTGGAAAAATGGGTGGCATGTCAGAAAGAGTATCGACCTAGCAGTCTGGCAACTTGAATATTAGCCCCAACTGCTTCTTCAACTGAGTGTCCTTCGCCAATTAATTCAGTAACAATTTCTTAAATACCTAATGGGTTTGCGATGTGGTACTAGGACTAGAAATATAGGCATTGATCTGGCTTTCATGGTCCTCAGAGGCCCTTCTCTCTTTGGCACATAGTGAGTTTTCTCATCTAACTTGCAAATGTGTCGTTTATAAGTAGGCACCCCTGTCCAGCCTGTCTTCTAGAGTAGTTGTGTGGGCCAAGTGAGAATGTGTGAAAGCCAATTGTAGATAGCAAAGATGTGCCATAAAAGTAAGAAACCATGTACATTTTTTTTCATGTGGAAAATTTTTTAAGTTCCTTAGGACTTGGAGGAAACAGCACCTGAGTTGCTTAACCTTCTGAATGGATGGGAGAGTTTTACTCATGAATCAGTAATGCGGTTGAAGATTTTAGCTTGGTTATTCTCCAAGAAAATTATATAGTGTTTTTGAGTAATATTCTAAAATTAACAATCCAAAGAAACTTCTTTGAACTGAGTGACTAGAAATATCAAAGGAAGGTTGACTTTATGACAGAGACATATTTTCTTGGTTTCCTGACTACTTGCCTTTGTTTGATTCCAGCTGCAGCACATCGTGAGTGATGAGATCTGTGTGCAGGTGACTGACCTTTACCTCGCAGAAAACAATAACGGGGCTACTGGAGGCCAGCTGAACACGCAGACTGCAAGGAGTCTCCTGGAGTCTACATATCAGCGGAAGGCAGAACAACTCATGTCGGATGAGAATTGCTTTAAGGTAATTTAAGTAGTAAATATAAGTAGTAGACTACTACTACTCGTGTAGTCTAGGACACGCTGGTGACAGTGTGAGTTGTTGGGTCTGTCTCCACCAGAAGTCAAAGCCGAAGTGATTCCACTCTGGACCTCTTCAGTGTCCATATGAGCTCCCTGGAAATACAAAAAAAAAATTGGAAAAATGGAAGTCAAGTCTTTCATGGACAGTGTATTTTGTTACTTCTTGCCTTTAAAAAATTAGTTGTTATATATGATTTTTATAGTTTTGTATTGTTTCTATCTGAAGAGTTTGAAAATGTTCTCTAATTTCTATTGCTTAATTAGCAAGATCACTGGGTCTTCATCTTTTTAATCACTATTTGATGTTTCGTTTTCTACAGAATTAGGCCTTATATTGTTGGACATTTAGGTTATTCCCAGTTTTTCAGCATTATAATAGCTAATTAGGAAAGCAGATAGCTGGAAACAACTTAGATGTCCAACTCACTGTAGGGAATGGTTAATAGCTGCCTAATGGATGGCATATCTTATAGTCCTTAACAGTTAATTATAGATGATAAACATACTGAAGCAAATAAAAGGACACAAAAGTATACGTACTATGATTGCAGCACTGTAATAAATGTGTATAGTTGAACAAAGCCTGCATGTATTTACATAAGAAAGGCAAGTTCAGCTGGCTCAGAATCAGATGAGTAATTGACCAAGCAGAGAAGACTAAGCTAAATAAAAGTATGATCTTGTTAGGTACGTTCCATATACTTTAATGACCTGACTCCCAATTGTTCATTTAGTTTCTTGCTTCTGCTTTGAGCTGTTTCTTTAGTTTTGTATCCATCACCTATACTGTTTGCTTAATTTAGAGTCAAAGAACTAAAAATGAGTGCTCTGGTATGGTGTCAGATCTGATACTTTGGTACCCAAGGAATATCACAACAGAAGAGAGTTACAGAGCTTTTTGGGCCTTTGTATCTGAGTGTTTATTAGGAATTTACTGTGTGGTTTTGGGTAAGCAGAATTACCATCCCCACCCTCAGTGAGTTAACAGTGTGTTAGATTGTGCGTTGAGGGCCTATGAAAGAATAGGTAGACTCAGCCTGTAGATGAGAACAGTTGTCAAGTGACAGAGGACTAGCAGGAGGAAAGGCTTAGTGCCCAGGAAAGTTGTGCCACCACAACAATCCTTTGAAATGTTTGCGTAGAGAAAAAAATCCAAGAGTGTTAGTATTAAACTAAGCATCAGCAGCCCCTCAAATCCCTGCTGCCCTTCCTCTAGCCTCCTCTCTCTTTTTGTTATGGACATTCTACTCTACTTTTAAAAGATCAAGCATGTTTCTCTTCCTCTTCTCTTTCTTCATTCAAACCTTTTTCTGTGCGTTTACATATACATATGTGGCATATGTAGAAATGATTGTAGACTGCATATTCTATATACTTTTTCACTTAATATGCCTTAGGGTTTGGTGTATTTTGGTTTGTTAAATCCAACTCATTTTTCCCATTGCTGTCATACTTAATAAAATGAATGTCCAGAGTTTAAAAAAAAAAAAATCATTCCCTTAGGAGGCAAATAGCTACTCTTTCTGTTCTTTTACTATTTCATACAGTCCTGTTTGTGTTCCTTCCGCACATGCATGTGGTACTGACTTTTAAATACTGCTGCTCTGTACTGTATATATTGATGCTTTCTGCTTTGCTTTGGTAGGAGAAGTTTCTTTTTTCCCCCTTTTTCCTTCCCTTTAAAAAAAAAAAAGTGCAGTAGACTTATTTATATCTTTGTGTAGTAAGTGCCAGAAATAGGATTGTCAAGTGAAATGGCATTGGCACTTTATTCTTGCTACATATGCCATATTTTTTTGTTAATGAACAAAATACTTTTTTAAGAGTGTCTTACTGACTTCCATTTTTTTTAGCCAATTCAAAAAGTATGAAACATGAAATGGTACTTTTTGCCCTAACATTTCATTTCACCGGTAGCAAGATTGGATTTTTGCGTGCGCGCCGCCCCCCGCCCTTTTTATTAAATCACTGAACTCCCAACCTTTGAGCATCTTCTTTATCTCTTTCGTTGGAGTAGAGTTTTCCAACCTTTACTGCCTCCTTAGTTCCCAGCCCTGAGCAGCTAGGATATAACTTTGGGATAATATTTTATTTACACTTAGGTTTCTTATTTGCAGCTTATGTTCATTCAGAGCCAAGGCCAGGTCCAGCTAACCATCGAGCTTCTGGACACGGAGGAGGAGAACTCAGATGACCCTGTGGAAGCAGAGGTATGGACATGCATTGTATAGAAACAGTGCTGAGAGTGCCGTCACATCCTGAGTCTGCGTTGCAACCTTAGGCCTGTTTAAGGATCAGGACATGGTCCTTAAAATATAGGTCATTCCAGGCATGTCTTTTGAAGACAAAGGCTGCCTGGTTGTAGATACTTAGGATTGAGACAATCTCGTGGTTGGCAACTTTCCTGTTTTCTCCTAAAGTATAAGAAACAACAAAGGAGTTACTATCTGCCTGGTCTCTTGACTTTTTGTGTCATGTTTACTTTTTATTGGGCTAGATGAAGCCAGGACTTCTCGCTCACGCAGAGAAGGCCCAGATGGTTGTCATAATGGGTCTAGCAGGTAATGCTAACGGGAGATGCAGACCACATGTATGTTGTTGAGGGATATGGGAGTGGGGGAGACCCTTTGTTTGGGGGACTGTTGGCTTGTGGTCACCAAGTTTTTAATTTTTTTACATGCCAGAAATTTACTGATTTCAAATATTTACCACTCTATATTTTGTTCTTTAACAAAACCCCCCATGGGGACATAAAACTTGTCAGCCAGCTTGTATCCATTTATGACTTCTGGTAGTAACATTGCAGTATCTCAGAATCTTTGCTTCTTGCTAACAATTTTCAAGTTGTATTTCAATGCCACGTAATAAGGACATTATTATGGAAAGGGATTATCTTGATCTGGAAACAGTGTGGATTCCAGGTATAATTTTAGAAATTGCTAGACCACTTCATAAGGGTGGAATTCAGCTTTTCTGCTCTATCCCTATCTCCATTTTGTGTTTATAACCCCAGCGCTGGTCAGACTACGTGGAGCGATACATGAATTCTGATACTACCTCTCCTGAGCTTCGTGAGCACCTGGCACGGAAACCAGTATTTCTCCCAAGGTGAGTGAGCCAGCATACGTGTCAGCAGTATACGCTTGTGCACAGTGAGAAACGCAGTTTCTTGGTTTTTATTTATTTTATTCATCTATTCTGTCTGCTGAAGACACCAAGTCAAGGTTGTGTGGCTGTTCCACTATGAGTTTATCTGGGGTGTGTGCCCAGCGCACTGGGAGGTGAGTATCTTAGAGAATCAGCGGCAGCTGTCAGGTAGCAACGTGTGTGGCATTTTCCAAGGTTTGATGATTCGTTGGCACGACTTCGGACTCCTCAGGTAGTCTTACTCACTGTGATGATTTGTTATAATGAAAAGGTAAAAAAGCAAAAATCAGCAAAGGAAAAGGCTGCCTTTCGCCAAGTCAGAGGAGGTCAGGTATAAGCTTCCAAGAGTGCTTTTCCAGTGGAGTCACAGGTAGGACGCTTTTAATTTCTCGAGCAATGAATTATGACAACATGTGTGTGATGCTGTCTACCAAGGAAGCTCATTAGAGACTCATAGAAACCCAGTGCTGGGTTTTTATGGGGTTCTAGTCATTTTTATTGAGTTCATATAGGCCTTCTGCCTGGCATGTACAAAATTTCAGACTCCCAAAAAGCATGCAGGTTTTCAGCATAAACCATATATTTTGTATAGTCACTTTAGGTGTTGTGAGCCACTCTTACAGGCAAAGGGGGGAATTCTCTCAAAGTCCAAGAGTCTAGAACCTAGTCAAGGAGCAACCTTATAAGCAGGCCTTTGAAAAAGATAGTAATAGTCTTAGGCTGTCAACTCTCCTTGGCATAGAATTTAAAACATTTCCTCCCTAGATAATATATGGGCAGATTGTAATGCTGATCATTTGTCTGAAAATGAGACAGTTTCAAAAGTAGAAAATAGATTTTGCTGTTTCTTTCTTCCCAAGAGTTCACAATTGTAATGTCATGTCTTACATTTCCAGAAAGGTGTTACTCTGGTGTTATTTGACTCAGTCAGTCCTATTCACAACCAGGAAAGGTGTGTGGACAGAAGGACCCTGCCAGGTTCTTATACTCATTGATTCATGCAACATGTTTCGAGCAGATGCTGTGTGCCAACCTCTCTGTCAACAAAACAGACTTAGTCTCAGAGTTCATGAAGTAGTACAATAAGCACATCATTGTGTACTTCTCACCAAGTTGGCAAAGTTTTTCAAAGATTTATAATCTGTTTTGCAGAGGATGCTGGGAAGGAGATACTCTGGTCAGCTGTGGGGGAAGATAGAAATGAATGCAGTCATTTGTGGGCAGGGCAGTTAAAATGCTTGGAAACTTTACTCTAGAACTTTAATTTCTAATAATTTGCCTTAGAGCTCTAACAGCTGAGGTTCCCAGTCCGTTTGACCTTGAGAACCCCTTACGCTCTCAGAGACTGAGTACCTTGAAAGCTTTTGTTTATGTGGATAATATCTTATATATAATATTTACCACTTAGAAATTGAAATTGAGAAATGTTTAAAATATTTATGGATTAATTTTTTAAATAACACTTACCATGAATACTATTTTAATAAACTATTTCAAAACAAATAGTGAAATTGTAGCGTTGCTTTACATTTCTGCAAGTGTTTAATATCTGACGTAAAGAACAGCTGGATTTTCATATCTGTTTTTAGATTCAATCTGTTGTACTATATTGTTTGATTGAAAATATGTGAAGAAAGTCTGGCTTAAGTATGTAGCTAGAAAAAGAAGTATTTTCATATTCTTTCAGACAATTGTGGATATTGATAATGACAACAAAACTCTCCAACCTTTAAACTAATCTCTTAAAGGTTAGTTGCAGTATCAAAGAGTTTGTTCAAGTTTTGTAGAATCCTTTGGTTTAACTTGTACTTTGAATACATCTTTTTTTCATACATTACTTTCTATTTCATTATTTTCATGCAATAACTTCGTGTAATTGGTTACTTTAAAATTTTAGTTCAGTAAGTTATGTAGATCTCCCAAATGTTCATGTATTTTCACTTTTCAAGAAAACAAAGTCAAGAAGAAAGATGTAAGAAAATAAATTAGGGGGAAAAAAATCACATTAATAGTGCCATTGACCTCATCAAATATATCTTTAAGTGGTGGAAAGCCATCAGTTTGTGGTAACCAGTAACAACTTACCAAATTCAGTTTTTCTTGAAAGCTTAAAACGTAGCATTGGCAATAGATAGATTCAGTTGTTTTCCTTGAAGTGCCAGGCTCCCCTTGTCACTTTTGAGCCAGTATCTGCCAAATAGCCTAATCTGGTGAGTCATTTGTTTTAGGTAAAAATGGGGTCCAATTGTGACTGTAGTTTCTCCTCAAGAAATCCATTGTGCTTTAGTACACAAAGGTGTTTTATGTGAGATTCCCATTTTATCATATAGCATATTAAAATGATGTGAACTAAAGAGCTGTGATTTAATAAAAAATGTTACTGTTTTATCAAGTACATGTTTTGTCTTAAATCCCAAAGCAAGAACTGTAGCAAGTGGTTACATATGTGAAGTTAGAGACCTAGAAAGTTTTCTGTCAAAACTGCTCTGCCAAGACATGCAGAGTTTGGAGAATTTTGGGTAGAGGAGGGTTAAAAATTTCTGCTTAGTTTTTGTATCTTTGCAGTAGAAACTTGTTTTTATAATGAAGCCACTGAACATTTTTAATATATAACTAAAATTGTGTAACTTCTATGAGGTATATAATAAGGAATACTCCATTTGGGGGAATTGTGGGGATCTGCATCTGGACAAGCTTCTCATCCTAAAGGGCATTTCTGCTTTGTAGGAATCTGCGACGGATCCGGAAGTGTCAGCGTGGTCGGGAACAGCAGGAAAAGGAAGGAAAGGAAGGAAACAGCAAAAAGACCATGGAGAACGTGGACAGCCTGGATAAGCTGGAGTGTAGATTCAAGCTGAATTCCTACAAGATGGTGTATGTGATCAAGTCGGAGGACTACATGTATCGGAGGACCGCCTTGCTCCGGGCTCATCAGGTGAGAACCAGTGACAGGAATTTTTCCATACACATACCTGGTCTACCCCCGGACACTTCTGATTGTTTCTCTCTCTTTATGAAAGCCTTTTACTGGACTTGAGAATTATTGAGTAAAGAGGCGTGTTAGTTTTAACCGCTAAGGAGCCTGTTAACAAAGTACCACAGACTATGTGACTTAAATAACAGAAATTTATTCTTACATTTTTGAAAGCTAAAAGTCCAAGATTGAAGTCTTGGTAGAGTTGGTTCAAACCCTCTCTGGGCTGTGAAGGAGAATCTGTTTCTGCTTTCCCTAGCCTCTGGTGGTTTGCTAGCAGTCTTTGGTGTTCCTTGGCTTGCTGCAGATTTCTGTTGTCATCTTCACCTCCATGTGTGTGCATCTGTGTCCAAATTCATACACACACCCCCCCCTTAAGAGCAGAATTCGTGTTGGATTGTGGGCCCCCCTACTCCAATATGACTTCATCTTCACTAATTACATTTGCAAGGACTTAATTTCCAAATAAGATGACATTCTGAGATACTGGGAGTTAGGATTTCAATGGATGAATTGGGAGGGGGCGCAATTTAATTCATTAACAGCTAGTGGCGTAGCCGCTCCCAGCATTACATTTTAAGTGTCATTGCTTGTATGATTATATTTTCACATTCAATCTAAATTAGGAAAGCTTCTCGGTGAAATTTTGTGCCAGGCCCAAGGGACCATAGTCAGGAAGTCAAGCACACACGGTAGTGTAGAATGTACTACCAAGGACAGAAATTACAAGTGATCAATGGTTGCCTGCTTTTTTGTTGGAAATGACCCTTTAAAGTCTGAATAGTGACAAACATCCAAGCTGATGAAGACTTGACGATTGGTACTTTCTAGGCAAAGGAAACTATCAAGTTTAAGGCTCAGGGACGAAAGGCCTTGGCATGTCAGAGAAGCTGAAACTATCACTGTGGCTTGAGCCATGGGGAAAGTGGACGTGTGCAGTTGGAAGGGTGACAGAGACCACATTGCACATTACCTAGTCTCGGGCCATAGTTTGGATTTTGTTTGAAGTGCACTGGGACATTGTTGACAAAGATGGCTTGGAGTGCTACGAGGAGAATGGGAGTAGTAAGTGTGGACACAAAGTGTAAGGTAGAAACCACTCAAGACTGCTCTTGTGCAAAGGAGGTGTGATGTGATCGGCACCGCCAGGGTGGCTGTGGGGTTCTAAGAATTAGATTGGAGGTGAAGTTTGGAGATGTAATTGTCAAGGTGGGGTAACAATCAGATGAGGGAGTAGGGGTGAGTAAGAGAAAGAATTAGGATGGTCTCTTGATTTGGGTTTTGTTTTTTTTTTCCTTAGGGGAATGGGAAGTTTAGGGGTATATGTATTAATAGGAAGGGATTCCCAGGTTTGGGGGGATAGATCAGTTACTCTGATTTGAACTGGTAAAGTTTGAAAGGACACACATGTTCACGTGGAAGGTGTTAGATGGGCAGTTTAATGTGCTGCTTTCATGCCGTGTGCTGTATGTCTGCATCTCTGACTCAGACTACACTGGGACCTGGGTGCCATCTAATTCATCTTCATGTCCCTACTCTGTCTGCTACATATTTTGCTGGATGTATAGGTGGGAATGTAAACCTTCACTGAAGAACTGCTGTACCTGGCAATATGCCAGGCAGAGTGGTGTACTACAGGGAAGGGAACTGGGTTTGAAGCCCTTTGTCTTGTTCTGTCTCACCCCGGGGTAGATTGCCATAGTGAGCAAAATGACCAACAGCTGTCATTCATTGTGCTGCTCTCAGTGTACTAGAATCACCTGGGTCGCGGGTTTAAAATGCCAGTTGGCGGAACCAAGGAAGCCTGTGTTTTTCTCAAGTCCTTGGGTGATAATGCATGCTAAAGTTGAGAAGCAGTGAGTTAGTTCTGCCTGGCCCTGTCTTCTCATTTCTTTGCGGACTTCATGGGTTTCTCTGTTGCCTTACAGGCTTTATATTCTTAACCTCATTTATTTCTCATCTTTAAACAGAGGTCCTATTGCCTTTTTTAAAAAACAAACTAGGGATATCAGTTAAGCCCACATCTTTCCTCTGCTACTTTAGGAAAAAATTGGGCATGTGTATTTTTGGTCCTAGTACATGGATGTTTTTCTTTGTTCTGTTTTGCAGTCCCACGAGCGTGTAAGCAAGCGGCTACATCAGAGGTTCCAAGCCTGGGTAGATAAATGGACCAAGGAGCATGTGCCCCGTGAAATGGCAGCGGAGACCAGCAAGTGGCTCATGGGTGAGGGGCTGGAGGGCCTTGTGCCCTGTACCACCACCTGTGACACAGAAACCCTACACTTTGTGAGCATTAACAAGTACCGTGTCAAATACGGCACAGTGTTCAAAGCCCCGTAACTGCCAAGCCAGAGCAGGTGACTTAGGGGTGTGTGTGAGAGCATGTGCACTCACACACACTGAAGAAACAAGGAAGATGCCTTTCAAGCCTCACTGGGCCTCTCTGGGACACGGCCACCTGATTCTGTGTGTGGCTGGTGCAACCTGGCACCAAGTGGGCTACATTTAAGGATCGTGGATACCTTACAAAGCTAGAGCTGGAACTTTTCCCAGGCTTTGAGTATTAGCTTATCCTGAAGGGGAAAGAAGTTCATGCAAGTGCTGAGACATGCAGCTTGCTTGCACACACCAGCAGAGTAAGACTGGAGTCTCCTGGGGCCTGCCCTTCCGTGGGGGAACCAGATGCAGTCCACACCTTGCCTGGATGGGTGTGCATTTACAGACAGACTGGGGAAGGACTTGACTTTCAGATGGATAACTCTGATGCTCACTGCTCCTCTTCTCTCCCCACAAGAGGAGAAAAGAACTGGATTTAATTTGTTTTCCTGGTCACTCGAGCACATCTAGATCCCCATTAGGTTTTACCTGGGACTTACAGCTTGGCTTTGGGATTGATCATCTTGTGGATTTGATTCCTGACGAATCCTTTGCTGCCTACCCTGTACTCTCCTCCGGTTCTCAACCTCAACAAGTTCAAATCAGTCGTTCTTTTTAGCTCCCGTGGAACTGTTTTGTACCTGCTTCTTTACTAGTCTACCCTAGTGCCATCCACCAGCTTTATTCTCACACACACGAAATTTTAACTTGGATTTTTCGTTGCTTTTTTTTTGTAAATAATGTACATACTGTCAATTTTTTATTAAAAAGAAATATGCTTTGATGTGCTAGCATAACTGCTCTAGCTTCTTGTGTACCATAGTACTATGTGGCTTCAGATTTAGTACCTATGAACAGATGTACAAGACATTTATTACACTTTTTACCAAAGGGAGTTACCATTGTAGTACTTTTGTGTAAAACTTGTCTTCCTCCTTGCCCCAACTTTTTTTTTTTTTTTTTTTTTTTTTTGTAAATAAATAAAGCTTGGTTCTTACTTAAGGAATAAATTCTCAACCCAAGTCCCTTGTCTTCACCAGAGAACAATTGTGAAGGAGAGATTTAGGCTTCCGTTCCTTAATCCACAGTACAGATGGGATTTTTGGGGCTAAATAGCAGTCAGTTACATTTGTCCCACATCAAAATATTTATTCCAAATTTAAAAAATAGAACTCTTGATTCTTTTAGTACATTCCCTCCACCTCTCCCCCTCCCCATGTCCCCTTATTTAAGCTATTTGGAAATATTTTATATTTGGGTAAGTTGTTCAGCTTATGTAGCTTGTCTTTCTGTATATTTTTTCTTATTGAAAATGGAGGTTAACAATTTAAATACCAAACCAGTATTTAAAAGCTGTGTATAAGATGTGTGCTATAAAAGGGTTGGGACGAAGAAGATTTGATACACTTCATTAGCAACTGCAAATGGAATATATATTTTTTTAATTCCTTAAATTTAAACTGGTAGATGTGTAAACATGATTAGAATCTTGTACGTGGTTGCCCTGAACACTGAACAAAGCCCCTGCAGTACTGCAACGGAGCCACCATTACTTACGTAGTCATAGTTATAAACTACAGTGTTTTATGCGTTTTTGCTTGGATTGCAATTAAAAATCCTCAATACCAACACCTAAAAGCCATACATTTTCTGGCTTTTATATTTTGAAACACATGTAGACCTCTTTAATTTTAGTTTTTGTTGTGGGGGTACAGAAAACTGAGTCCAGAAGTGCAGGGTGACGACACAAAAAGCCTTGTGCGGAGAGAGTCTGGAGCCCAGCTGGGGCCTGACCTGGGATTAGACTGACACGCACCACTAGGGGGAAGGTCTTCAGCTTTTCCCAGCAGTAACACCTGCCTCCCTGTGCTGGCTCAAGAAAGATGGTGTTGATCTTAATGGTGACAGTTGATGGGGCCTGGGTGGGACAGCCCCGCTGTTGCTGGCCTTCCAGTGTTCCTATTCAGAGCACCAGCCCACCGGTCAGAATAGGGTTCTGGGACCATTCTGGGCAACTACCCCAGCCCCACCAGTACAACCAAAAGAAGGGGGCGCTTCACCTACAGCCAGGGTGGTTACAAGCATCATTTTTATCCCTCGTGCTTTCTGACATTTGGAGCTCCAAGCTCTAAACCCAGCTTGTATTATAGCAAAGTTATCTTTATTTTAAAATCATGTTTGGTATTCCGTGGTCACCTTTTTGTGTGATTTGCATTTGAAATGTTGTAAATTTGGTCAGTATTTTCATTAAAATATCAGGGCTAACGTCGTGTATATATTTTTCTTCCAATGATTTTGTAGAGGAGGCTTCCCGGCAGTCTCGGAAGGGAGGGAAAAGCTGTAAGTGCTGGACTTAGGGTGACAATGAGGATGAAAGTGGAGATGTTTCTGGCGTTACGGTTTCTCCGAGTTCTTCAGTCTGTGGTAAAATTCATTCTTTTAGGGTCTTGAATGCTATGACTGATCTGCCATCTCCAATCAAAACCCCTCCAGTTTCTGGTGACGGGCGACATTTAGCCAAAGGCCAACATGATAGCTGAGGAAGCTGGGGTGACTGGGGCGAAGAGCCCCCCCTGTTTAACACCTGGCCCGCCAGGCAGCTCGCCCGCACACGTCCTTGGGGCCCTGGCTCTGTCTGCATTAAGCAGACACCAATTCCAGAGGTCGAGGCGCCCAGGCCCCGCCGGCGCCGGGAGGCTGCAGCCGGCTTCCGAGGCGCGGGGCCGGGGTCTGCCGCGCCCCAGCCCGCGCGCGCGCCTCGCGGTCTGCGTCTGACCTGGATTTCGGGGCGTCTAGGGGCGCAACTTCTCGCGCTGTCTGCTCAGCGGCCCAACATCAGGACCAAGCGGGGGCCCTGGAAGCGGGGCCCCCGCCCCCCGGCCCAGAGCCGCGGCGTCCGCGCGAGCCCCGGTGCCCCCAGAAAAGCGGCCCGGGCGGGAGGGCGCCCCGCGCGCCGGAACCTTCGCGTCGCAGCCGCGGGGCGAGCCGGCCGCGCCGGGCCCTTCCGGAAGGAGCGGCCATGGCGGCGGCGCCGGCCCTGAAGCACTGGCGCACGACGCTGGAGCGGGTGGAGAAGTTCGTGTCGCCGCTCTACTTCACCGACTGCAACCTCCGCGGCAGGTGCGGGCCGCGCCCGGGGCCCCCGAGGCCGCCGCGGGGCCCGGGGCGCGGGGCTGGGCGGAGCCGGGCGGGCGGTGTCGCGGGGACGCGCGTCCCCCAGCGGCTCCCCCGGGCGGGAAGGGGGGGCGGCCCGCGCGAGCCCACCGGCCCGCCCGCCCAGGCTCTTCGGGGACAGCTGCCCGGTGGCCGCGCTCTCCAGCTTCCTGACGCCCGAGAGGCTCCCCTACCCGGAGGCGGTTCGGCAGCCCTTCCGCCCCGCGCAGGTCGGCGACAGCTTCGGACCCACGTGGGTACCGCCCCGGGAGGAGGGGCCCGGCCCGGACAGCCCCGGGAGGAGGGAGGCCCGCCCCGGCCCGGACAGCCCTGGGAGGAAGGGGGAGAGAGGGCGGAGGGCCCGCCCCGGCCTGGACAGCCCTGGGAGGAAGGGGGAGGGAGGGCGGAGGGCCCGCCCCGGGCGGGACAGCCCCGGAGGAGGGGGGCCCGCCCCGGCCTGGACAGCCCCTGAGGGCAGAGCGGCAGCCTGCGGAGGGCGCGCATCCCTGGTCCCGCAGCCTTAAAGGAGAGAATTTCAACCCACCTCAGACCCCTTCCCCCAGACACTGGATATCAGGAAGCCACCCCTGATTCTTCGCATCTTGCTGCACATTTGCTTGCTCCTTTTATTTGGATCAAAGCCGAATGCCTTGGAGCACTGCAGAAGCCTGAATAAATTTAACCCTCACCGATCCTTAGTCCGAGGAAGTATGTCAGAAGTCAGGGCTTTCACTCCGAGGCCCATCTCAGTGGCTCTCTTGCAGATGGTGGACCTGTTGGTTCCGGGTGGAACTGACCATCCCAGAAGCCTGGGTAGGTCAGGAAGTTCACCTTCGCTGGGAAAGTGATGGAGAAGGCCTGGTGTGGCGTGATGGGGAACCTGTCCAGGTGAGGCGCCCTGCCTGAGGGACAGGTGGAGGCACATTTCAGCCCTGGTCTCTGGAGAAGCCACAGTTTGAGTGACTGCCTGCAGGGTGGTATCAGGATTTTACGATTGGGGAATTTGCTGCTTGGTCACCTGTGCATTTGGTCCCTCCCAGACTGGGAAGTTAAACTGGTGACGCTGGGATCAATCTGCTGCTTGACCACCCCTGCCAGTGATGGGCCATCTTCCCATTCCAGGCTGAAAACAGTTAATAATCAAGTACAATAATAATAAATACAGGTCAATTTATTAACCCTAGTGGTGTCAGGTGCCAGGCTAGTAGCTTTGCAGGCCATATCACTTTTTAGTTTTTAATAAACTAGTTTTTACGATATTATTAGATGCTTATAATACATGTTTAGAGGGCGGACTTTTTAAATTGCTCTAAGTAAACGTTGAAGTCCTCTTCCCCTGAAGTAATGAATCTCCCTACCATTCTAGCCCCAATTCTCCAGGTATAATTATAATCACTATTGTCTTGTTTATGCATCGAACTATATAGGTTTAATTTTTATAGTCCTATGTGGTAGGTCTTTATGCCCATCTACAGATTGAGACTGAGATATATAGAATTCACTTGGTCAGGTTCACACAGTTTCTATTCCAATTGCACTAGAACTCTCAGTCTTGGGTTAGGATTGTTGTTTTTGTGTGGAGGGAAGGCAAGCCCCTTCTCCCCTCATCACCTTCCCCTGCCCTGCCTCCTTCCACTGACCTAGCAGATATCTCGTGAGTGCCTCCTTTGGGCCAGGCTCTATGCTGAGCCCTGGGCGTATAATGGAATGAGGCAAACCTGTCCCTGACTTCATAGAGTTTTCCTTCAGATATTTATTCAGAGACACAGAGGCCACACTCGGGTCTCCTGACCCTTGCTCAGGACCCTGCCCATAAGACCAAGGGCTTTTCTGCTGGTAAATAAGTGCCATTTGGTGATTACAGCTCCAGTTACCCTAAGGGTTGAGACACACAGGTTCCTCATTTGTCAATCCTTACCAGAGGATTGAGGAATCCTTCACTTTGACTCTCCCTCCACCAGGGTTTGACCAAAGAGGGAGAGAAGACCAGCTATGTCATCACTGATAGGCTGGGGGAAGAAGACCTCCGAAGGTGAGTCCTGATGCCCTGGTTCACATGGGCTATGAGGGAGGGGCCACTGGTGGGCAAAAAAGAACTGAGGCCCAGAGTGATCTTAGAAATATCCCTACCTCTCCTGCAGGATCATCCTCACATCTCATAGTTTGTTTCCAAAAAGTAGGATTTTGTTCCTGGTGCTCAAAAAGTGCAAGAAAGTAAATAATTTCATTATCCCACCAGGTAAAGAGGACCAATAATATCAGCATTCATCTCAGGAATTCTTTCAAGTGTAATGTTTACTAGTTGAGATGTATTTGATATCTTACATTCTGATTTCTTTTTTTTTTTAAAGATTTATTTATGCATACAAGAACTGGGGTATAGGCCAGATGTGGGGGGAGGGGAGAGGATTCACCAGAGACAGAGTGGGGAGCAAAATAGGCGGATCTACTGTCTAAGAAGTTTTTAACGGAGTCATTAAAAGAAAAATCAGGGGCCTCCCTGGTGGCACAGGAGTTAAGTCTCAGCGTTATCAAGCTATCGCTAGCCACTGTGGCTTGTGTATGAGTTCCATCCCCAGCCAGGGAGCTGCCCACATGGCCCAGCAGACCTTCCAGGGCTGCCCAGCACTGCTGAAGGGAGCAGCGGTGACTTTTTGCTGAGTAAGGCAAAAAGCAGGGCCCACCATGCCACCCGGGTGCATGGCCTCCCCCATGTTTGTCTGTGGATCTTTGCTTTGAAAGATCAGAGCTGGGAGCTACAAGTTTCTAATATGTGGAAATGGTTCTGAGACTCAGGTAGTTAGTGCTTTATAAAGACAACTTTGGAAGTAAAAGGTTAAAGAGCAATGCAGGTCACACTGTTCCAAACTTGGCTACTTTTTCTTCCTGGACCAGTTTGAACACTCACCAGCAGGACATAGGTTTGACCTGTGACCTTTTCTTTCTTTTTTTTTTTTTTTTTTTGAAGATTTATTTATCTATGCATACAAGAGCGGGGTACAGGCCAGAGATGCAGGGGATGAGAGGACTCACCAGAGACTGAGTGGGGAACAGAACAGGCAGATCTACTGAAGTACACTGCTGAGGGGAGCAGCGGGCGAGACAGGAGAGATCTACTGCGCCATGTATGTCAGCTCCCTGGCCGGGGATCAAACTCATGGTGCAGTGGCTGCTCATAGTGCTGAGACTTAACCTCTTGTACTACAAGGGAGGCCTCTGACCTGGTACTTCTAACACAAGCCTCTCACACACACACACCCCTAAGATACTGTGGGATCCTCCTGGTGATGGATTCTGGAGGTGAATGGGAAGGGGTGAGCCGGATGCCTCCTGGACGCCCCTTTCCAAGGCCCCAGCGTCCTCCATTGGTCTGTGGCTGAGGCTGCCTCCCCACCTTTGTAGCCTGACCCTGTATGTGGAAGTAGCCTGCAATGGGCTCCTGGGGGCCGGGAAGGGAAGCATGATTGCAGCCCCTGACCTCGAGAAGATGTTCCAGGTGAGCCGGGCTGAGCTGGCCGTTTTCCACCGGGATGTCCACAAGCTCCTGGTGGATCTGGAGCTGCTGCTGGGCATGGCCAAGGTACTGACACCCCCCTCCCCCCCATCAAGTCTCTCTAGAGGTGGTTTCTTGGGTAAATTGGGACTCTTAGAAGAAAGAAAATGTTAAGTGTTTTGCCCGCCTGCGTGTTGAGAACGTGTCTCAACACAGGTAAGAGGAGGAGGGGGACAGTACTGAACAGGAAAAGAGGTGGGGAGGTGCTCTGCTTGGAAGATCAGCTGGAGCCTAGTTCTGAGGAGACCCCCCTGCTTGAGAAGGGCATTAAGGGACTGAATCCTGCTGCAGGGCCTTGGAGAGGACAACCAGCGAAGCTTCCAGGCCTTGTACACAGCCAACCAGATTGTGAATGTGTGTGACCCTGCCCGGCCAGAGACCTTCCCTGTGGCCCAAGCCCTGGCATCCAGATTCTTTGGCCAGCATGGAGGTGAAAGTGAACACACACTCCATGCCATAGGGCACTGCCACATTGATACAGGTAGGGCAGCAGCTAGCTGGGCTGGCTGGGGAAGGCATGCATGCCCTTGAAATTCTGGCTGTGGCCCGGAATCACTGCATGATCATCAACAAGTTCTTGCCTTGCTTCTCTTGGACCTCGGTTTTCCCGTCTCTCAAATGGGGCAAGGAAACTGGACTGTGGGCTTGATAGCTGTGGCTTCATTTATTCTTTCAATAAATCTGTTGGTCCCTGTGGCCCTTTGCTAAATAATGGGAGGTAGGATTACAGAGACTGACGATCACAAGTAGGCAGGCACACTTGGTGCTGTGATAAAGGAATATATGGGGACTGGGAAGCTCAGCTGCTTTGGGTATGTTCAAGAGAGGCTTCTTGGAGGAGGTGACCTTTGGAACTGAGTGATAATGAATAAGAGTTTGACAAGAGTGCCCACATCCCTAGAGAGGAGTGATGAAATAATTGAGATGGGGGCTTAAGCATGCTTGGAGGTTTCCTGGGGAGGATCAGGAGTTCAGTTTTGAACCTTATGAATTTGCCTCGTTTGAGGCTTATGGGAAATCCTCATTTTTAACAAGCTCCCCAAGGTACTGATGCTGATGCAGTTGAAGTTTCTGAAATAGAACAAGTTTTTTCAGCTGTGCCCAGGTGTTGGTGGGTTGTGAGCTGGCAAGGAACTGAGTCCTAAAGGCAGGAGAGGTTAGAGGGCCTCACACACTGTGCCGGCTCAGGCAGCTCCATCTTGGGGATCTGTGTCCTCTGTTCTGGGACATCCATCAGCATGTGTGGAGGAAGGGTTAGCTCCTGTTTCCCTTATAGGATCCTCTTGGGGGATCTAGACTTTAGAGCGAGACTGTTCTAGGGCTTGGGGCCTCCATTTCCGGATCTGTAAAATTGTCCTAATAGCGCTGCCCACCTCCTCCATCCTCTAACTTTGCAGGAGTGATTCAAAGCGGCAGCTCAGGAGGGATGCACAGGGCTTTACAGGGAAAGGGCGGGGATAGGAAGAGGGCTAGGCTGGCCCTCTGGAGGCCAGGCTGAGCCTTCAGGGAATCGGAGGTAGGTGAGGGTGGAGGTCTGTGAGAAGCTGGGGACCCTGCTGCTCTCCCTCCAATCTTCACCCCTCCCTTTCTAGCCTGGCTTTGGCCCTTCAAGGAGACTGTGCGGAAATGTGCTCGGAGCTGGGTGACAGTGGTGCAGCTCATGGAGCAGAACCCTGACTTCATCTTTGCCTGCTCCCAGGTCAGACACAGCTGAAGAGGGGCACCTGGAGCTCGCTGTGGTGGAGAGTGAGGCTCTGAGGGCTTCTCTACCAAGAGGCAGAGCTCTTCCCACCCTCAGTCACCCCGTGGGCCTCATACTTGGGCCTGGCTAGGGTCCTCCTCACTCCTGACCCAGCTCTGACTCTGTCTTGTCCACAGGCCCAGCAGCTCGAGTGGGTAAAGAACCACTACCCTGGCCTATATGCCCGCCTCCAGGAGTTTGCCGGCCGTGGGCAGTTTGTGCCTGTGGGGGGCACCTGGGTAGAGATGGTGAGTGCACTCAATACCCCTCAGCCTCAGCCATACCTCCATGCCTTTACTCCTATGGCCCAGGCCCCTCCTTGACTTTGCTACTGACTTTACAATCCTTTCACGCCCCCCACCTCCAGCCCACTTTGTGGCAGCATGTATTAGTCCCTGGAATCCCAAGACCAGGGTCTCCAAAGGAGAGGGCGGTCTCAAGCACTGCAACAGGCTGTTCGCCTAACCCAGTCTTGGGAACCTTCCTTCCCACAGATGGATGGTCCTTGGTGCTGGCTGGAGCCCCTGGGTCAGAGGGCCCTGGCTTCTGGATGGGGTGGGGTCAGCCTGAGCCCCAGCCTGCTCCCCGTTTGGTGCTGAAGGGTCAGCTGCCTCCCTCCCTTCACTGCCAGGATGGAAACCTTCCCAGTGGAGAGGCCATGGTGAGGCAGTTCCTGCTGGGCCAGAACTTCTTTCTGCAGGAGTTTGGGAAGATGTGCTCTGAGGTAGGCTGGGTGCTGCTGCTCCTGCTGGTGGATGGGCAGGAACTGGATCTTGGATGGTGAGGAGCTGGGGCTCTTGGAGCCCTGGTTCCTGTGCCCCAGCGGCTCTTTCACCCCCACAGTTCTGGCTGCCAGACACGTTCGGCTACTCAGCGCAGCTCCCCCAAATCATGCGCAGCTGCGGCATCAAGTACTTCCTGACCCAGAAACTGAGCTGGAACCTGGTGAACTCCTTCCCGGTGAGCAGGCCTGGGGGTCAGGTTCGGAGTGCGCCCGGGCCCTCCTGCCCCATTCACTTTTCCCAGGTTTATTTAGAGTCGTGGGGTGAGCCTGCAGCTTCTGCCCAGGGTGGTTGTCTCCCCTCCAGGTGACACAGCTCTCAGGGGCAGGGGTACGGGCAGCGCCAGGTCTGGCGGGCCAGCGCTGCTCCACCCTGACCCCCCCCCCCCCCCCCGCCTCCAGCACCATACCTTTTTCTGGGAGGGGCTGGACGGCTCCTGTGTGCTGGCCCACTTCCCGCCTGGAGACTCATACGGGATGCAGGGCAGTGTGGAGGAGGTAAGGAGGCACTTGGTGGCTGGAGAGAGCTGGGGGTCCTGTCCCAGGCTGGTGTGTCCTGATCTCTCCCATCTGTTCAGGTGCTGAAGACTGTGACCAACAACCGGGACAAGGGGCGGACCAACCACAGCGCCTTCCTCTTCGGCTTTGGGGATGGGGGTGGTGGCCCCACCCAGACCATGCTGGACCGCTTGAAGCGACTGTGCAATACGGACGGCCTGCCCAGGTCAGCCCTGGCCCGCAGGCAGTCCTGGCCGGAGCCCTTCTTTCTGCTCAAACACTGGGCTCAGTTCCTCCACTGGACCTTGTCCTGCTCCAGTTCTGGATCAGTGGCTTCTCCAGACTTCCAAACTGGGGCTGGATGGGAGAAAAACTAAGGTTGAGAAGAAGCTAAAAGAAGCTCTCTTAGGGTATCCAGTACTGGTTTTCTATGGACAGGCAGCTTTCTGGGACAACTCCTTTCTGTTGGGACTGGGCCTTGTCCACTCAGTGCAGAGAAAGGCTGAGCCATCTGGCCTCCCAAGGCTGGGGGACCCAGATTTCCCATCTTCCTCAGGGTGCAGCTGTCTTCCCCAGAGCGCCTCTTCTCGGCACTGGAGAGTGACTCAGAGCGGCTGTGCACATGGGCCGGGGAGCTCTTCCTGGAGCTGCATAATGGCACCTACACCACTCATGCCCAGGTCAGGTGGAGTCTGAGGAGTCTGCAGAAGGTCAGAGATGGAATTCAGGACAGACGCTAGCCCAACCTGGGGGGATGAGGCTGGTTTCCTCGGAGGAGCTCAAAGCTTAGAAGTCGAGAGCTGAGTGGGTCAGGAGCCTGAAGGAGGCAGGACTGAGCTTCTCTGAGGGAGGAGGGGTCTGGGCTGAGGAGAACAGAGGAAGGTTACCCACAGATGGCTTATCTAGGAGGCCTTACGGAGCCATGAGTTCTGAGCAAGGGAGGTCATGGGAAGGTATCCTAACGCTGGCGCAGTCTCCAGACTGATCCCCCCCACCCTGGGCTCAGATCAAGAAGGGCAACCGAGACTGTGAGCGGATCCTGCACGATGTGGAGTTGCTCAGCAGCCTGGCTCTGACCCGCAGTGCCCAGTTCCTGTACCCAGCAGCCCAGTTGCGGGACCTCTGGAGGTCAGCCACCCACCTGACCTTGCCCCTGCAGCCTTCATTCTTCCCGCCCTCCAGCCTTCCCCACCCCTGCCTGCCCTTTGCTCCTGCAGGCTCCTGCTCTTGAACCAGTTCCATGATGTGGTGACTGGAAGCTGCATCCAGCTGGTGGCAGAGGAAGCTATGGGCCACTATGAAGGTGAGGTTGCCATTCCCGCTGCTCTCTAATACCTGGGGCCAAGCCCAGAGTGCCCCTTGTGGCACACTCGGGTCATCCCACACCCATCGCCCACGCATGACCAGCCAGTCTCTCCTCAGACATCCGTTCCCAGGGCAATGCACTCCTCAGCACTGCAGCCGCAGCCCTGTGTGCTGGGGAGCCGGGTCCCGGAGGCCTCCTCATCGTCAACACGCTGCCGTGGAAGCGCACCGAAGTGCTGGCCTTGCCCAAGCCAGGCGGGGCCCACAGCTTAGGTATGAGCTGGGGACGACTGTCTCTTGTAGCAGGAGGGAGCAAGGCCACACCAGGGGTTGGGGACCTTCCCCTGGGGATCTCTGCCTGGTGTACCCCAGGCTGTGGGGGAGGAGGAGGAGTATCCCCCTCCCTCCCCAGGAGACTCCCAGGAGGTCAAGGAGGCTACACTGATGCCCAGGCCTCATCCCCAGCCCTGGTGACAGTGCCTGGCATGGGCTACGCTCCTGCGCCCACCCCCACCTCCCTGCAGCCCCTGCTACCCCAGCAGCCCGTGTTCGTGGTACAGGAGGTGAGTGCTGGCACACCCTGGGAGGCAGGTGCAGTCTTGGGCTGTCCTACTGGCATGGGGTTTCTGGGCCTGCCAGCCTGGAACCAGTGGTGAGGTGGGGCTAGGGCTGGGAGGAGGGCTGTTGGGAAGAAGCCCCTGCAGACTCACCTCAAGTTCCCCTCCCATCAAGAGTGACGGTTCTGTGACTCTGGACAATGGCATCATCCGGGTGAAACTGGACCCCACTGGCCGACTGACATCCCTGGTGCTGGTGGCTTCTGGCAGGTGCCAGCCCTTCCTAGTCTCTCCCAGTGCTCTGCGAGTGGCCCCCAAGCCCGGTTCCCTCTGTCTTCTGACCAAACATCTGCCCACAGCAGCAGCCGATGACTCTTGGTTGGGACCCGCATGGGGAGCAGGGCAGGCTGCGCTGGGAATCCCTTGTCCCCAGGATCCACTCACCCCGCAGCTCTCCTGTCCCAAGTGGCTGGAGAGACCGAGGTCACACACACCTCCTTGTCCTTCCAGGGAGGCCATTGCCGAGGGCGCTGTGGGGAACCAGTTTGTGCTGTTCGATGACATCCCCCTGTACTGGGACGCGTGGGATGTCATGGACTACCACCTGGAGACGCGGTGCGCGGAGGCCGCTGGAGGCGGGCACGCTTTGGGTCTTCCCCACAAGCCTACCCTGGCTCAGTGCTCCCATCCCTGTCCCACAGGAAGACGGTGCTGGGCCAGGCAGGGACCCTGGCGGTGGGCACTGAGGGTGGTGTGAGGGGCAGCGCCTTGTTCCTGCTGCAGATCAGCCCCAACAGTCGGCTCAGTCAGGAGGTGGTGCTGGATGTTGGCTGCCCTTATGTCCGCTTCCACACGGAGGTAGTGGGGGGCGGGGTGTTGGGCGTCTTCCCTGGGTATGGCTGGTGAGGAGGGGCCAACTCTAGCACCGTGTGTGTCTCCCTCACCTCACACCCCGCCTCAGGTGCACTGGCACGAGTCCCACAAGTTCCTGAAGGTGGAGTTCCCTGCCCGCGTGCGGAGCCCCCAGGCCACCTACGAGGTCCAGTTTGGACATCTGCAGCGACCCACCCACTACAACACCTCTTGGGACTGGGCTCGTTTTGAGGTCTGACGCGGGTGAGGGGTGGTGGTAATGGAATCCTCCCTGGCTGGGGAGAGGCTACTGTGGTGTGGGGTGAGGAGGGGGAGGAAGATCACTACGGTGTGTGCCGGGCATTATGCTAAATGCTTTGTGTTTAGTTTGCTGCCCATGCCCATTCGGTGGGGGAAGTAGTTTTCCCCATTTTGTGGGTGAGAAGCTAAGTAGGGCGGGAGGTGGGCCCGGGTCCTCCTGCAGGGAAAGCTGGAGTTCACGGTCCTGGGGCTTGTTCTCACGCGAGTGTCAGGAGCTCTGGAGCCGAGGGGGTGGGGCCACAGCAGGTCTGGCTCTGTCCTCCAGGTATGGGCCCACCGCTGGATGGATCTGTCAGAGCATGGCTTTGGGCTGGCCCTGCTCAACGACTGCAAGTATGGCTCATCCGTGCAAGGCAACGTCCTCAGCCTCTCGCTGTGCGTGGGGTGTCCTCCGGGGGCTAGCGTGGGGCACCAGTGTTCCTGGGTCTGACCAGGACTCCAGCAGCCCTGCTCATTCTTGGCCTCTCAACTCCAGCTTGCGGGCATCAAAAGCCCCCGATGCCACTGCTGACATGGGACGCCACGAGTTCACCTACGCGCTGATGCCACACAAGGGCGAGTACCAGCTCCCTGCCCCTACCCCTCGGCCCTGCTCTGAGCCTGGATTTCCACAGCAGTCAGTGGGGAACGCACAGCAGCAGCGTGGCACCCCCACCTCCATTTTCCACCCTGTGTCCCTTCCTGCCACACTCAGGCTCCTTCCAAGATGCTGGCGTTATCCAAGCTGCCTACAGCCTCAACTTCCCCTTGTTGGCTCTGCCCGCCCCGGGCCGGGCGCCAGCCACCACCTGGAGTGCCTTCTCGGTGTCCTCACCAGCAGTCGTGCTGGAGACAGTGAAGCAGGCAAGGGGCTTGGGGGCTGCGCCCGGGGTGGCGGCCGATGTCCTGGCTTGGGTCCAGCCCACCCACCACCTGTCTCTCTTCAGGCCGAGACCAGCCCCCAGGGCCGCACGCTGGTGCTGAGGCTCTATGAGGCCCACGGCAGCCATGTGGACTGCTGGCTGCACACATCCCTGCCAGTTCAGGAGGCCTTCCTGTGAGTAGGGTGTGGGGCATGGGTGGTGTGGGGGTCCTGCCCTCTTGGCACCCTCACAGCCCCTCTTCCTTTTCCCTAGCTGCAGCCTTCTGGAGCAGCGTCTCCCTGCTGGCCACCTGCCACTGCAGGACGCCCGCCTGAAGCTCACCTTCACTCCCTTCCAAGTGCGGTCACTCATGCTCATTCTGCAGCCCCCACCCAACTGAGTCCCTGAGGTGGGAGTTTGTTACTGGATTTTGTATTTTGTTCTTCCCCTCAGGAACCAAGGCTGACTCGCCTCTTGCACAATAAATCCTGGCTCAGGAGCCGTACTGGTGGTCCCACTTGCTCCCCTCAGGGCCCCGTGTTGGGCTTCCAGGGAAGACTTTTCCTCCTTGAGGGCAGGCCATATTGAAGGCTATCTGTGTTTGCAGGGGCTGGGCTGCAGCCCCACGAGAGACCTGCAACCACAAGCTGATGACGAGAGTCGAGTTGCAGGCAGAGTGCCTGGGGTTGGGGAGGGCACCAGGAGGGTGGGTTCTGGCTGGCCTGCTAGCGGAGGTTCACTAACTAGTCAGAGCCAAGCTCCAGGGCAGCCACAGGCCCTGAGGGCCCTGCACTGGGGGAGCTGTGGCGCCTGGACCAGCATTTCCACACTTCTTCTGAGGGACTGTCCTGCAGAGGAGACTCTGAGAGCCAGGGCCTTGGGGACAGGATAGGGAGCAGGTGGCCTTGCAGCAGGCCCTCCCAACTTGGCCATCCCAGCCAGTCCGAAAAGGGCCAAGGATTTCAAGCGTATCAGTTTATTTAAAAAAAAAAAAAAATCTTCGCAGGAGCCTTTAAAAATGGGAAAAGTGAGGTACAGTTAAAAACATTGTTATGCAGGGAGCAGCCAGAGCGCCAGGGCCACCCTTCAGTAGATGCTGCGGTGGCAAGGAAGCCTCACGGTCCCCCAACTCCAGAGCAAGGCAGCGGGAGGGGAGGCGGCAAGCTAGGAGAGCCCTTGCTAAGAGGCTAAGGTCCCCCCGGCTCCAAAGATGGGGAGTCAGCCTTGGTCCTTCGGGGCCTGCGGCGACCTGTGAGCAGAGCAGAAGGTGCGGCTCAGACCCAGTCTGCGTACCAACCCCCAGAGCTTCCCTCGCCCCCTTTGTCCACTCAGCCGCCCCACCTGCACGGCCACCCTCCCTCTCCTGCAGGGCCCCAGAGGAGCGTGAGGAGGGAGAGCCTCCAGAAGCTGCTGCTCGCCCCCTCCTCTTCTTCCCTTTTTTGGGGGTTGGCGGGGTTTCTGGATCCTGTTGGAGGCTGGTCTCCTGGGGCTGCTGGGCTGCAGTTTGCCCGCGTGGAAGGGCTTTCCGTGCCCTACGTGTCCTGGAAGGCCCCTTGCTCGGCGCCTGCATGAAGGAGACGTGAGTCTCTGAGGCACTTGGCGGGTCCCGGGTTGGCTAGGACCCACCGTTGTCGCCTTTGTCAAGGTGGCTGCCCTAAAGCCTGATCTGGTAGGTTCAGCCAGGGCCGGAGAGTGCAGGAGTGGGGAGCAGAGCACCTACCTCACTCGTGTCTTCAGGACCCTGCTTCACGCCCTTGGATTTCTTCTTGTAAGACTTGCCCCCTGCAGAACACCGACTTGGGGGCTGGAGGGTATGACGGCCTCAGCCCCCTTTCTGCAGGCTCCCGCTCTCCCGCTTTGGGACCACTCCCAGGGTGGGAGTGATGGACCCTGCAGGCACCAAGTCCTTTCTGCGTGCTTAGCTCATAGCATAAGGAGTAGCTTACCTTTGGGTGCCAGGGGTCCAGGATCCCCCTAAAATGGAATGCGGAGAATTCAACAATCAACCTGGCTTGAGGCAGGGGCACTTTAACCTGGAGAGGCAGAGCTCACACTTGCCCTCTCAGATGTAGCTGCTCCCCTAGGAAGCCTCGCCGCACCCCTCAGGTCCAGCCCACACGCACAGGACGCCCTCTAGCTGGGACCCTGGGACCCAGAAGGGGAGCAGCATAGGACAGGCTATGCTCAGCAACAGTGGCACCCTTGGGGGCCTGCACAGGCCCTGGGAGATCTTAAGGTCTGCTCTGGGGAGAACCCAGCTCCTGCCTGCTGGGACTCGGGTCTGCGCCTGCCTGTGTGAACTGTGGGGCCCAAACCTGGAACCAGATGGTGCGGCCGTGCCGGTCCCGCAGGGAGCTCATGCCCTGCACGCCGTAGCACCGCAGCCAGGCCCGAAAGGCAGCAAAGTCTTCCTCTCCGCTCTCCGGCCCGTAGCCTTTGCCCCCTACGGGACAGAGGAACGGGGCGGAGGTCAGAGGGCAGACTCAGGCTGGGAGGAGGGGGAGCCCGGTCCGACCTGGCCCAGACCTCAGCGGCACAAGCTGATGGACAGAGTCAGGGGGCCATGGCCCTCCCTCCCCCCAGCCGTGACCCAGACTGGCGCCTTTCCCGCGCGGACCCGCGGCTTTTCCATCCTGGAGCGGTGGGGAGGAGCCCTTGCCCGGGCCGGCTCGGGGGCGGCGTGGGAGACGTGGCCGCCGGCAGTGAGGAGGCCCGTCTATTTAGCAACCGCTGGTTGACTAACTTGCATCCTCTGGCGGGCAGCAGGCCCAGAGCGGGCCAGCAGCAGGACGTGCCGAGCACAGTCTGCCGTCTTATCCCCGGGCCTCACCCAGCTGGACCACTTCCTTGGGGACCAAGTGGCACAGCTCCAGCAGGTCCGGATTCTGCAGCTTGACCCTGATCTTCTGGCTTAGGGTCAGCTCCGGGTTCTGGAGGAGGAGCAGGGGCAGAACCTGACTGTCCGCGTGAGGCAGGGCCCCTGGGAGAGCAGCTGCCCCTGGGGAGCAAACCCCTTCTAAGCTGGGGGGGATGCAGACTGCTCATTGCTACTCCCCCATCCCGCCCCCAGCACACGCAAGGCACAGCCGAGAGAGGGCCTCTAGGGCTGAGCTGGAGACCACCTGGCCCATCCCCACGCTTGCCTTTGTGTGCACCACCCCCGCGCGCTCACCAGCCTGCGCTGCTGCAGCGCCTCCAGGACCGTGCGAGCCTTCTCGAATGGGGGTATCCTCAGACTGGTGGGTGGGAAAGGGGGCCGTGCTAAGCAGAGGGGAGTGTGGGCACACTGAGCCCCTGGCCCTTGGACCCGTGGCCGGCCTACTGACCGGAACAGGATCTCTGCCCGCAGGTAGTTGCCAATACCATTGAAGAACCTCTGGTCCAAGAGGGCCTCACAGATGGGCCGGTCAAAGGCCTTGTCTGCCAGGTGTCTTAACACGTTCTCCCTGGAGAGACACCGGGCATGGGAGGCCCGTCCCACCCAGCGGGGGCTGGGGGCTGGGCCGGCAGGAGGCAAGGGGCGTTCCAGTTCGCGCTTCCCAGCCTCACTGCCGCGTTGTCCTCGGGAGCTGCTCTCCTCTCCGTGGCGTGGCGATGGCGCGGGATTTCAGTTTATTACAAAAGGTGGAAAATATCAAAAACGTGTTGGAGGAAAGAGAAGGCTGTGTATGTGGCCGTGTCCATGTCCCCCAAGTCCCCGGCACCCCCCAAGAACAAAGTGATCAAGGTCCTCAGGTGTGCCTGCAGGCTGGCATCCCTGTGAAGGGCTTCTCGTGCGGATCTGAGACCCTCAAGATCTTTGGGGAGGCAGGGACGGGCTCTGTGCAGCAGGTGTAGGGAGGCAGGCTGGGAACACCCCACAAGCCCCTACCCCACTTCCAAGAGCTTCTCACCACCAGAAAGAGGAAATGCATCTTGTTCCTTTGTGGAAAAGACTACAGTGAGACAGGAGATGGGGGCCAGACACAGTTTAGGGGTCAAGGTAAGAGCAGAAGGATAGCCTGGGTAGTCAGATCCCACCTGGCTGCCCAGCTGTAGGGCCAGGAAAAGGTGAAATGCTCACTGTGCTCGAGGCAGCGTAGAGCCAGCCGGCACGGTAAGCCTGGGGCATGGCTCCCCAGCAAAGTGAGGTGCAGCGAAGCCAGACCACACAGCAGCTTTCCGGTGGGGGTGGGGCAGGCGTGAGCTCTTGGGAGTCATGCCTGGGAAGGCCAGGAGCCAGTGCTTTCTGTGCCCCAGGGACACCCCAGGGGGACGACCGAGTCTCCTACGGCCAACCCAGACACCTCTCCCCAAGGGAGGGCTTGCCAAGCCCGCTGCAGGACTTTGCATGCGATTGTCCGCTAGAACGATTCCTAACACCCCCCACCCCGTCCCCAGCGAAGGCCGTCTCTGCTGCTTGTGTTCTTCTGCAGGCTTCTGTCTATTTGAATTTACCTAGTTTGTTTCCCTGTCCTCTCTCCCTACCTGAACTTGGTGCTGTGCCATCAGGGCCCACAGCCATCTGTACCCCCAGCGCCAAATCAGAGCCTGGCACCAATTTCAGAGATTTCCTCTTTAGAGGAAAGTAGTGGCTAACACCTGCCACCTTCTGTGGCCTGCATCATAGCCCAGATGGGCCTTTCACCCCTCCCCCAGGCAGGCCCCAGGACACAGACCAGTGGGCAGGCAGCATGTGGGAGACCACAAAAGCCCTTCCTGCCCCCTAAAGCAGTTCCTTTCTTCTCGGCCTCCTGAGGGTGCTCAGCAGCAGTGTGGGTGTTGGGGGGGCCCAGCTGATGCCGCCTGGCCCTGTGCCCTTGGGCATGCCTATCCACCCTTCTCTTGGTGCCCCCCTCTCTTCTCCCACATCAGTTTTGAGTTTCCATATTCACTTGCTCAGGGGCTGTCCCCAGAGAAGGTTATCGTCCGGCCTGAGAGGAAGGGGCTGAGGCCAGCACGGGGCTAGGACATGCCTCTGGCCAACGAGGCACTGACCCAGTCAGCCCAGAACCCAGGACTGTCCACCATGCCCAGGGCTGGCCCTACCTGAACTGCTCATACTCCAGCAGGACGCATGGCCCTCGGCCTGGCTGCCACTCGCCCCCGACCTCCCAGCGGCCGAAGCGGCGGATGTCCACGAAGCACAGGGCCTGCCGGGGGCCAGGCGGGGCCGTGTGAAAGCGCAGGTGGGCATGGGGGGGCAGCGCATCACTGGGCGCCAGCTGGAAGGAGCCAGACATGCCGAAGCGGAAGACCACGGCCAGGGGTTCCCGCGGGGGCTGCGCGCCCGGCTCGGGGCTCAGCGTCAGGCGCAGCTCTTTGCCCCGGGCTGAGGCGGCGATGCGGTAGGCGCTGCTCTCAAAGGGCACCTCGGGGTTGCGGCTGACCAGGGACTTCTCCACACGCCCGCTGAACACCAGTCCCTCGCAGGCCTGGTTCACAAAGTGGCTGGCCAGGTGCAGCTCCGGGCCCTCGGGCATCCTGCAGGGGGGCGGGGGGTGGGGGAGATGACCCAGGGGGGCCGGTGGGCACCTCGTGAGGGAGGAGAGATGCCTGAGAAGACCCCCGGTCAGCGGGAGTGGACGGGGACATCTGAGGGCCTGGACACCCGGAGAAGCCCAGCGCACCTGAGCGCAGGTGGGGAGGGGGCGCCGAGGCTTCCCCCAGACCTGCAGCTCTTGGAGTAAAGTCAGGCTCCCGCACACCGGCCCTCCCGGCTCCCACCTCCTCCCTGCTGGCCGCCTCTGGCCCCGTCTGGCCGCGGGCGCTGGGCAGAGGCGCTGACCGTCCTATCTCAGGCCCAGCCCCCCGCGCCCCGACACACACACATTTTCTCTTCTCCTGCCAGTCCCGCCACCCGGGGGACCTGATGCCTGCTGCGCCCCCCACGCCCCTCCCGCCCCGCGGGGGAGGCTGTCGGCTCCTCGCCCGCGCCCTCCCCAGCCTGGAGGGGCCTCCTCCCCCGACACTGACCGAGGGGGGCCCTACTCTGCGGGGAGCGGAGCCCGCAAGACACCTCTGGGCGCGCTCAGCCCGGCGGGGAGCCGCCCGGGGGCCGCGACTCCAGGCCGAGGTGCGCCAGCGGGTGCGCGGGCCGGGGCGGGGCGAGCGGCCGGGCCAGGGTGTAGGGGGCGAGGACACCCCGCCCCGGGGTTGCAGCCTCTCCCCTTCGCCCTCTCCCCCGGCCCAGCGCGGAGTCCATTTCCTCCTTCCCCTAGAAGTCGGGGTCGGCCTCCGCCAGGGCTGCCCTGCACCCACCTCTTCCCGCGCCCCGCGCGCCGCCAGGGCCTGCGCCGAGCGCGCAGCTGCTCCGGAGACGGCGGGGTCGGTTCCCGATGCCGCGAGGGGGGCGCCCCGCCCGGCCTGCCCCGCGCCGCGGCCTGTGGGTGCTGAACCCCGGCTCCCTTCAGCCGCCTGCCGGCAAGACGCGCCCTCAGCCCGCGCCCCCCGCGCCTCCCCGCGCCTCCCCGCGCCCCGCGCCGAGGCTTCCTGCCGGACGGGGCGGGGCGGCCGCGAGGGGCACGCCGGGAGCGGGGAGGGCGCCCCGGCGCGGGGAGGGCGCCCCAGCGGAAGCCGCGCGTGCAGGTGCAGAGGCCCCGGGGACCTGCGGCCGGGCCGCGGTTCCGCCGGGTGAGCAGACGCGCCGCGGGCAGGAGGCCGAGCCCGAGCGAACGGCGCGCGGAGGCCGCCCCGGGGCGGGGGCGGGGAGCGGGCTCCGGGGCGCGGGCCGGGCCTCGCGAGGAGCCGGAGGCTGCGCCGGGGGTGCCGGGCGCGGGGCGAGGCCGGGGGGTGCCCCGGAGGCCTCTGTGGGGAGCTCGCCCTTCAGCCCGGGTGTCGTTTGCCCCCACGTACTGCGCTGCTCCCCGACACCTCCCTGATGCCGCCGCGCGCCCCCTAAACACCCCCCCGCCCCCCGAGCCGCGGCGCCCCGTAAACACCCACTGCCAGCAGCCGCGGGCCCCCCCCCCCGGCAGCCGCGACCCCCTCAGGGCTCCCAGACGCCCTTTTCGGTTGCTCCAAGCAGAGTCCAGTCGTGCGGAATTCGTGTCTTGCCGTTTTCTTATTTCTTATTTATACAAGAACCGGGGGACAGGCCAGAGTGCGGGGGTGCGAGGGTCCCCCAGAGGCGGCGCGGGGGGCAGAACGGGCGCATCCCCTGAAGGGCCCCGCTGAGGGGAGCGGGGGGCGGGCGGGGTCCCCTCCTGACGGCGTGGGGCCGTCCGCGCTCCGCTTTTTGGGTCTCATGAACCGCCGAAGCCCGTCCCTGGGGGTGTCCTCTCGCATTCGGGGGCCCCTGGAGCTCTCCTCAGGTGCCGTTAAGTTGTTCTCTCTAGTTTTCCCGATGCCCGGGAAGGGATCGCCAGGCGTGGCTGTGCATTTTCAGGGTCACCTCCTGGGCACACCCCGATCCACTCCCCACTCAGCGGGACCGACACCGGACCTCGCCTGGGAACGGGGCGCTCCTCGCCTCGCGCCCGCCCAGCAGTGTCTGGGGCGCGCCGTGCCTTGGTCCCCGCCTCCAGGGTGGTGGGTGCGCAGGAGGCGTCCCAGGCGCGCGCGACCGTCCCCGCCGAGGGGGTCGCCTCCGTCGCCAGCGCCCGCCGGCCCCGCGGTGCCGCCCTCCGTGAGGCCGAGGCGCCCCCCGGCCACGCTGGTCCTCGTGCCTCCCGCTGCCGGGCGCGGCGGCTCCGGGGGATGCGCCGCGTCTCTCCCCGCGCGGCGGCGGGGCCCTGGGCCCGCCCGCGCTGCTCTCGAGCGCCAGAGCGCCGGGCTTCCCGCCGCGGCCGCGCCTCAGGCGCCCTTGGCGAGCCCTGGCGGGGCCCGCGGAGCTGCGGGGCGGGAAGCGCGGGTGCCCCCCCCACCCCGGCCTCCCGCGTGGGCTGGAATCCTCCACAGCCTCCTGCAGCTCCGCGGCCAGGGCTGCTTGATCGTCCCTAAATACTGATTAAAAATCTCAGCATTTGGCCTCCCCGGTGGCGCAGCGGTTGAGCGCTGGGCTGCGAAGCTGCCCGCAGCCTCTGCAGCGCCGGTTCGATCCCCGGCCGCGGGCGAGGGTCCCAGATGGCGCTGCTCCCCGGCCACCGGAGGAGGGTCCCACATGGCGCGCAGACCTCTCCTGCCGCCCGCGGCTCCCCTCAGCAGTGTCCTTCCGTCCTTCTGCCTGCTCTGCTCCCCGCTCTGGCTCTGGTGAATCCTCTCACCCTCCCGCGCTTCTGACTGTGCCCAGTGCTTGTATAAATAAATAAATCTTAAAAAAAAAATCTCAGTATTTATAAATTTCTGACTCAACAAGCGCAGTAACATCCGACGGTGACAGATGAGGACGGATTAGTTTTGGGGAGAGGTTTTCTTTTACGGCCTCTTTCCTGTGGCAAACTTGGGGGTGTTCTGCCCCCTCCCCTCTCCTCCTGCTTGCGGAGCGCGGCCTGGGGCTGCGCCAACCCGGGCCCCCCCGAGGGCGAGGGGAGGCCCGGGGTGCGCCGCAGCCCGGGGCGACTCCCGGGAGAGGAGCTGACGTGCGTTTGCTGAGAGGAGGGTTTCCTTGCCGCTGTGTGTTTCTTCTCCTGTGGATTACTTTTTAATAACTAGCCGTCCTCATGCCTTAGCTGATCCGGCTCTGGGCGGGCTGCATCTCCGGCCGTGGACGCCCGCCCTGGGCGGCACATCATGAACCCCGCGCCCGGCCTTGGCTGCTGTGGCCGCTTCGCCATCAGCTTGAGTGACTGTAAACACGCGCCCTCCCTTCATCCTCTCTTGTTCACAATGACCTGAAATATTTCCTCAGCATACACTGAAAAGCATTCAGTAGTTGTAAGTTTTGGTTCAATAGTCAAACGAAAATTTAAAGTCCTTTGAAAGACGTCTACTCTATCTGTGTTTTTCTCTTTCCATTGTTCTTCCTCCAAGACTCTTGGATCATTAGCTCCCCAGGCTAGGTCTTATGGTGACAAATTCTGTTATCCTTCACCTGAATATGTCTGAAGTCTCCTCTTGATTTTTTAAAAAGATTTATTTTTATTTCTGCATATAAGAACTGGGGTGTAGGCCGGAGGTGTGTGTGTGGGGGGTGACAGGCTTCCCCAGAGACAGAGTGGGGAACAGAACGGGCAGACTGACTGAAATACACTGCTGAGGGGAGCAGTGGGCAGCAGGACAGGAGAGGTCTGCTGCGCCATGTGGGTATCTCCCTGGCTAGGGATCAAACTTGTGCTGCAGAGGCTGTGGACAGCTTCACAGTGCAGACTTTAACCCCTGCACCACCAGGGAGGCCCCTCCCCTTTATTCTTGGGGTAATTTTTGCTGAATACAGAATTCTTGGTTGGTTGACTTTTCTTTTGGGGCCTTGAAAATGTTGTACTTTCTTCTTCTGGCCTCTATGCTTTTTGATGAGAAATCCAGTATCATTCAAATTGTTTTCTCCCTGAAGGTTAGTGGTCATTTCTCTTTGCTGCTTTCAACATTACTCTGTAGTTTCTGTTATGTTTTCAGAAGTTCATATTGATGTATGCTGGCACAGATTTCTCTCTTGGGGGTTCACTGAGCTTCTAAACTCTCTAGGTTTGTCTTTTACCATGTTGGGGAAATTCTTAGCCTCTATTTATTCAAATAACTTTTCTGTCTCACCCTTTTCCAGGACATGAATATTGGATGTTCTGTTATAGGCCTACAGGTCCTCTGGACGGTCTTGTGTGTTTTTTTTAATAAATTATTTTATATAATTCTTACATCATTTTTTATTTTTGCATAATGTATGCATTTTCATTTTGGTTGTCTTGTGTTTTTTTCCATTATTTTCTCTCTTGTTCAGATTAGGTAATTTCTATTAGTCTATCTTCAAGTTCACGCAATTTGTTGACCTTTTTTTAACATCGATTATTGTAGTTTTCAGTTCTAAAATTTCCATCCAGTTCTTTGTATCGTCTTTTTTACTGAGACATCAAGCATTTTTTATGATGGCTGCTTTAAAGTTCTTAGCAGAGAACAGAGTCCTGTCGGTAGTGACCTCCATTGTCTCTTCGCATGCAAGTTGAGATTTTCTTGGTTCTTGGAATGACAAATGGTTTTTGTCTGAATGCTAGGCAGGTGGGGTATTGTTTTTGAAACTGGACTTTATTTAAATCTTCTCTCTAGCAGGCGTCTCTGACACAGCCAGTGGGGAAAGGGAGACTGCACCTCCTTACGGCCAGCGAGAGGGGAAGGCTCCCCTTGGTGCGGTCTGCTGCCCCATTACAAGGGTCCAACTCTCATGAATTCACCTACACCTGACACCTCCCAAAGGCAGCACCTCCAAATACCATCTCAGCAACTGGGGTGTGGACACGAGCATTCATAACCCCACTTCTCTTGCCATGGGCCCTTCTCTCTTCAGAAAGGAGTCAGGAAGTCAGGGCTTTTGCCTCCAGTTACTGCCAGCCTAAGCACAAGGCCAGCAGAGAGAGGACAGAGGCAAGAGCAAGACTGAACTGGGAAACAGAACCCTAACTTTCCTCTCTACAGAGAAAGGTTTTATTTTTGGTTTTATTTTGGTTCTAAGTTCACCTTACCCCTGACCTGCCTCCATCAGCAGCTGAGAAGAGTAAATGAGTGATAGGCCAGGGAGGTCCATATGTCACTTCCTGTCTCCTACAACCCTTTGATCTGAGCCCCAAAAGCAGCCCTCACACACATTCCGTCACACCTGTTTATTCTGCCTGCTCATGAAACTGTTAACAAGCGCCTTTCATGGGGAGGGAAAACAACGGTAGAAAAGTCCTCAGGATCCTAATATGTTGAGATGAACTCTCAAGTGGGAACCCAGGTGGCCAGGGACCCCGGAAGCCAGTCCCTGCCAGAGTTCCCGCCCCGCCCCGCGCCACTGCTGGAGAGAAGTCTGGAGCAGAGACTCAACACTGGTCCCAACACGCTACTCCTCACCCCAGCGGGGCCATCAGGGTGTGGGCGTGCTTCAGCTCTGCAGGGGAAGACGTGGGCAGCAGTCAGGTAGCATCAGCGAGGGGCCCTAATCCCTCCAGAGACAGTCAAACCTCACCTGCCAGGAGGACCTGGAACTTGTCTGCCGAGAGGGACATGGCAACAGGCCGGGCTGGGCCCCCTGGGGCAGCGGCCATCTCCAGCTGCAGGTGCACCACGGGCTCTTCCACAGACTGCAGCAGGCTGGAGCTCAGTGTGTAGTCCACGCGCCAGCTCACACCTGCCAGCCGGTTCACTGCAGGTGGAGAGCGGCTCTCAGAATCACAGGCTGGCCGGCCCGGTAGCCCTCAGCCCACACCCTGGCTCCACCCTCAGCCTTTCAAGGGTGCGTGGCCTTTGGGAAGGGCTTGTCTCTTTGACACAGGGCAGGTGCTTAGTAATCTGACGCTCAGATTATCCACAGCAGCCCTCAGAGCAAAGGAACCTGGAGAGTTAGGGGAGCCGAGCCAAGCCAGGCTGCGACGGCTCCACAGTGATCGTGGCTAAGTTTCCTCTCTAGAGACTGGGCCTCCCATGCTGCATGCAACTCCCAGAGTGGAGTCAGCCCTGCCGGAGACGGACGTACCACGCAGGCTGCAGGCCCGAAGGTGTTCCTGCAGGGGGCTCTGCTTCTCCTCGTAACAGCGGCACAGGCTGGCTGCGTGCTCTGAGGACAGAAGGGGGTCTCTGAAATACCAAGCCAGGGCCTGGGCTGCTCAGAGCACAGGTGTCAAGCACCTGGCCAAGAGGGTCCCACGGTGAGGCCGGCTGCCCAGCAACCCTGGCCTGCGGGTCACCCACTTGCCGCCCTTGTCCCCGTACCTTTGGGCAGCCCCAGCTGCTGCAGTTCACTGGACAAGGACTCGCCATCCACGCTGTGCTTGGCGGAGCTGGAGAGTATGAAGCTCAGCACTGCCACGGTGGCCTTCACGTCACCAGACTCTGAAGGGACCCGCGGGAAGGGTGTGACTGGGCCACCACCTTGTTGCCACACTGCCTGCAGCAGAGTCCCTGGCAGCCTTGAGCCCCGAGCACGGCTGCTGCCTCACCAGATGCTGGCCAAGGACAGCACCCACTGCTCCCCTCGGAAGCAGGTGGGTCAGAGCTCTGTGCTAGGCCCTGGGTCCAGCACCCAGGGTCACCCACAGGTCTCTGGAGTACTCACCAAACTTGGCGTCAGCAGTGAGCTTCAGAATCTTCTCATACTAAGAGGAAAGGAGGCCCTCAGGGGTGAGAGACCCTTGCTCACCCCCGACGCCCTAGCCCTGGGCCCCTAGTCCTAGCCCTGGGTGTGGTGAGGACACAAGATATCCAGGAAGGCCAGCAGGCCAATCACCTAACTACCTGGACTGCCACAGTCTCAGGGCAAATGGGGGGAGAGGAGTGCAAGGCAGGGGTCACAGGGTCATGAGACGATGGGGTGCTGGGCCCTTACTCACATCAATCCCCTGTCCCAGAAGCTCCTTCAGCACCTGGCTACACAGCAGCCGCAGCTTCACAGAGGACTGGAGGGAAAGGCCTAGGTCAGCCGGACTGGCCACCTGGTCTCTGGGGTGGGGGTGGGGGCCCTGAATCAGAGAGGGCCAGCCCTGTGCGGAGTCCCACAGCAGGCTGGGACAGGCTGAGCGTGCTGGGGCCCCAACCCCAGGATGTCCTCAACACCCCACCTCTACAGCCCACGCCCCCAACCCCTCCTCTGGCCCCCGAGGAGCCCCATGCACTCAACAATCTTTGCCAGCGTGCTGATCTCTGCCAGGACCCAGTCGGGGCAGTCCAGGTCACCACAGAACCGGAACTTCTGCATGAGAGTAAGGGAGGCCGTCAGGTTGGAGGGAGGGCTGAGCTAACTTCCCTACTCCCTGAGTCCAGAGACCCTGCTCCCCAGGGTCCAGCCAGCCAACCCAGATGAATGCCCTCTGGCCTCTTGTTCTCTCCATCAAAAAAAGGCTGTTTGGAAAAAACTCTCCCTGACTCACACAGCCATGCGCTTTGTGCTGCAGCCTGTCCTGGGCCTCACCAGCTCAGCAAGCATCTGCTGCACAACTGCCGGGTGGCAGAGCCCACTCTGTGCTGGGCTCCAGCACGAAGCAAAATAAAGTCCCTGACCGTAGCATGAGCAACCTCTCCCACCTCCTCCTCTTCCTCTCCCTGCCTTGCTCCGGGCTCACTGGCCCTGTTGTTCCCATCATACCAGGGGTCCCCTCTGCGACGCTTGCCCTCTCTAACTCCTCAGCAGCATCTGACACAATCTGTTCTTGAAGCAACACGTGCTTCTGGATGTTTCTCTCTGGCCTACTTCCACCTCATTTGCTGTGTTTCTTTTCCCTTGGACCCTTGGAAATGGCAGTCTGTGGAAAATGCTGTCTGCTGCCATTCTGGGGCAGGGGACAGGAACTGGAGGTGCATAAGGATGGGCCTGCACTTCCTTCTGTTTCATGGCATCTCCGCCTTTTGATGCCATAGTCATTTGGCATCTGGTGAGGTCTGTAGGCCTTTCTTTAAATAATGTTTTGAAATGCATAAAAAGGACTGCATATGGAGCTAACTGAAAGTTACCAAAGGGCCTCCCCTGGTGGCGCAAAGGTTGAGCGCAGGGCTGCAATGCTGCCTGCAGCCTCTGCAGTGCCAGTTCACTCCCCGGCTGCCAGCGAGGGTCCCACATGGCACGCAGACCTCTCCTGCCGTGCCCACTGCTCCCCTCAGCAGTGTCCTCCGTCTGTCTGCCTGCTCTGTTCCCCGCTCTGGCTCTGGTGAATTCTCTCACCCTCCCGCGCTTCTGACTGTACCCAGTGCTTGTATAAATAAATAAATAAATCTTTAAAAAAAGAAAGTTACCTAATATTCAAAATGAATGGATGATCTATTTCGTGTCTAATAACTTTTGGAATTTAGAAATGATGAGTATAAACAATATAAAAACAATGCAAAAAGCTGTAAATCTGAAGTGAAAACATCAGATTTCCATTCGTAAGAGAGGTGCTGCTAAAAATGTGGGTTCGCTGCCGACACTCATAATTGAAAGAAATACTAAATTTCAGTTTGAAGTTGGTGAAAATTATGCTGCAAGAGTTTTAAGTCCAAAGACTGGACTTTTACCTATAGATACCACTGTATTATTTACATATTTTACCACAAGAATGTGTTCCTTGTGTAACTTATTAAAATGCTGGCATTTTTCTATGCTCTGTCCTAGGCCCTCACTTCCCAATTCACTCCTGCTGAAACTGTTGACACATTTTCAAGGTTAAAGATCCTCTTTGTTTTGGTGTTTCCCACATTTCTGCCACTGTGAAATCTCTTCTGAGCTCTGGCCCCTTTTATCAGGTCTGTCTCTTGCCAGCCGGACCTGACAGCTCACAGGCCCCCACTCTGGATGTATGGAAGCAACTGGAGCTCTTCCCACTCACTGATACCCACTGTGGCCTCCAGGGTTTCACAAGGCACTGAGCATTCCCACGTGGGAATCAAGTCCAGACACCTCCCTCTCCTTTTGCTCTCAAGCATTTAGCCCCTAAGTCCTGTGGATTTCCTCTACACTCCCCCCCTCCAACTCACGACCACCACCACCTTCTGGGGGTGCGCTGCCCCAGCCAGACCTCCCTGAGTCTCTCTTGTAGGATCTTCCTAGCTTCCCAGCGCTCTCTTCTTAAAGCCCTCTCCTTAATGTGGCTCTCAAGACCTAGCAAGATGTGGTCTCTGTTTATAGTCTCTCAGCTACGCGACATACACTCCTTCCCAGGAGCCATGCGCTCTTTCACCTGGCCTTTGAATAGGTCATGCCCAGTCTGAAAGACAGTCTGTCTCTCTTCCTCACCTCCATGCCTCCCAAGCGGTGACACACCATCGGCACTGCACCCAGTCAGGAATGTTCCCTGCCCCGGTGCCGCACGGGTTCAAGCACCCCCAAGAAGCCTTTCTAACATGACGTTTCACAAAGGTCCCTTCCTGTCAAATCTCAACTGAGTGCCAATTCAAGCTTCCGAATTTGCCCAACCTCCTGCATTAAGTCACAGCGCTGGCACAGAGTAGGCCCCCCAAAAGCATCTATTAAAGTAACGAAAACATGGGTGGGCTACTCAGTCCTAACCCCCAAGCGACTCCTTTCAGGCTCCCTAACAGATGGGCTTCCCAGCAGAGCCAAAGGCTGAGCCTCATTCTAGGTAAGTTCTTCTCCAAGTCCCACGGCACCTCGGGGAAGACTTCTGGAGGCCCGGGAAGGCCTGAGGGGGCTCCCGCCCGCGGGGGAGGGCTTTCTTCGCCGCCCGGGAAGCACGCGGGACCCCGGCCGGCCCCGCCCACCCTGCACGGAGGCGCTTTTCTCCACCTAAGCTGCCTGCTGCGGGCCCGGTGCGGACTCTGCTCGCCGCGTCACTCGCCCCTTCCTGCAAGGGCAGCCATGAGCATGCGGGTCCCGCCCTGCCCTCCAGCCGCACCCCCGGCCTCGCACGAACCCTCCGTCCTCACCATCGCGACACGCGCTGGCCCGGAGTTTCTCCTTCCGGCGTTTCGTGGTCAGCTGACCCGGCGGTCACCTGACACAGGGGCGGGGCCTCCTGGAGGGGCGGGGCCTCCAGGGGCGGGGCGATCGGAGTCCCCACAGCTGCCGGGCGAGAATCCCGGGCGCCGGCTCAGTGCGCGGACCCGCCCGGAGACTCCCTGCGCAGGCGCGCGGTGTCGCCGCGGACGAGCCCGCGCGCGGGGCGGAGGGCGTGACCCTGTCGGTCCAGGGCGCAGGCGCCGGGGCTGGGCTCGGGGTGCTTCCCGCGGGGGCCTCTGTCCCTGCAGGGTTTCCCACCTGGAAGCCCCGCCTTTCATCGTGGCTGCGGCGGAAGGTGTGTTTCCAGATTTTTTTTTTGTTAATTTTTATTTTATTTTATTTCCTATATTTTTATATCATTTTTCGTTTTTGCACAGTGTGTGCATTTCATCTTGGTTGTCGTCCCCGTACACGCCCCACCCCACTTATTTTGACCCCAACCCCTCCTGTCCCCACCCCAGCCCCCAGTGTCTCTCTGGTTTATAGTTGCTTGTTGATTTTGATTTTTACTTTATTATAATTAGTCTTTTTCCTGGTCCCTTATTTAGGTTTTCTAGATTCCTGCTATGAGTGAGACCATCCGGTATTTTTCTTTTTCTTTCTGGCTTATTTCGCTGAGCATGATCCCTTCCAGCTCCATCCATGTTGCTGCAAACTGCATGTGTTTATCTTTTTTTGAATGCTGAGTAATAGTCCATTGTCTTTATGTACCATATCTTATTTTTTTAATTAATTTATTTATACAAGCACTGGGTACAATCAGAAGCACGGGCGGGTGAGAGAATTCACTAGAGCCAGAGCAGGGAACAGAACAGGCAGACTGACGAAATACACTGCTGAGGGGAGCAGCGGGCGGCAGGAGAGGTCTGCACACCGTGCGGACCCTCAGTGGTGGCCGGGGATCAAACCGGTGCTGCAGAGGCTATAGGCAGCTTCGCAACCCAGCGCTCAACAACTGTGCCACCAGGGGAGGCTGGTGCCACATCTTGATGCAGTCATCTATTTTTGGGCATTTGGGTCGTTTCCAAAGCTTAGCTATTGTAAATAGTGCTGCTATAATATAATACACATACAGACGGTTGCAAGTATTGTAAAGGCAAAGTTTAATGAATTTTTAAAATTGTACAGACACACATGGACACCACCCCGCCACACACACACACACACAATCAGCACTCACAGAAGGAAGCACATTTTTCAGCAGCACGCACTGCATTACTTTCTTCACTCCAATCCTTCAAGTTCCCTGGCCGCCTGCGAGGGTCCCACAAAAACAAAAAAAAAAATGTTCTTCCAAAGCTATCCATTTTCCCCTCTTTTAATCTGTTAATATAAGACATAAGGTGAACCATTCTTACAGTCTTCATTTTTCTCTTTGACCTGCTGTAGTATTTTAATAGAGTTTACTCCAATATGCAGATGCTTGTGATTTTTAAAAAACTCTTTATAAATGAGTTTCCATGACTTTATTTCCATGACTCTCCCTTAGTGCCTAGCAAAAAGAATCGGCACAATGGACATGCTAAGGAGAACTCTCTCCCTACGGTTTCACCGACAATGAGGTCTATCTAAACTTTTCATCATCTAATTGTGTAACAGGGTGGGCCCCAGGAAAAGCGGAGGTTCCAGGTTCCTGCCCCACCCAAGGGAGGGTGGAGCTGAGCAGGGAGAGAAGAAGCTGGAGGAGAGACTGAGGAGACAGGGAGCAGGATGGAGCCAGAGGAGTCCTGGAGGAGGCACGTGGGGCAGAGGGACATGGAAAAGGGGCGAATCCATGCCCCACCCTGTTACAATAGGTTGTTTGCAAGTGCGGTAGTCAGCCTACTGGTGATTTGAGCATGGTCGGCCTAGGGAAACTAAGCTTTCCAATAGTTATATTTTTCCAATATTTATATCGCCAATATTAATATTTCCAAAATTAAGCTTCCAATATTTTGAATGGTCTAGGAAAGCTAAGTTTTGAATATTTTCCCAGTATTTATATATTTCCAAAACTAAGCTTCTGATATTTTGAAGAGGTAAAAACAAAAAAATAAAGCAATAACAAGGCTACACTAGAGAATACACTAATAGCCATGGAAGAATTGAACAGTCAATTGAGATGACCCAATTCCATGTCCCAACCACCTTCCACTAGGCCCAGCTGGTTTTATTGTTTCAGCCTTTTGAGCTTTCACAGCAATCAGTGGGTGACAATTAAACTGCTCCATAAATAGAAGGAGATGGAAAGCCTCCCAAGTCCCTTGAAATTGAACTCATTTATAAAGAGTTTTTTAAAAATCACAAGCATCTGCATGTTGGAGTAAACTTTGTTAAAATACTATAGCAGGTCAAAGAGAAAAATGAAGACTATTAGAATGGTTCACCTTGTGTCTTATATTAACAGATAAAAAGAGGGAAAAATGGATAGCTTTGGAAGACCTTTTTGTGTGTGTGTTGGGGGGTGGGGGATCCTAGCGGGCGGCCAGGGAACAAATCCGGTGCTGCAGAGGCTGCAGGCAGCCTCGCAGCCCAGCGTTCAACCGCTGTGCCACCAGGGGAGGCCCTGGAAGAACATTTTTAACTAAGAAAGGAGGGAAAAAAACAGATGAAAATAGGTGAGAACTGCCTTAAGTTGATGGAGTATTTGGGAAACAAAACAGCAAACATCAAGTAGACAAATTATTTAAATTGGAATTATGGCAAAACGGCAGGCGGTGTGTACTTTGGGGACATGAACATTGCTCACAGGTATTTGTTTCACAAATAAAGATTATTTGACTATTTAGAGCAGTGACTTTAGAGTATGTGTGAATATCCTGTAGGGCTTTTTAGGGTGCTGGGCCCCAACCCCAGAGTTTCTAATTAAATAGGCCTGGACTGGGACATGAATATTTGCATTTCCAACAAACTCCTGGGTGACACTGCTGCTTCCTGCCAGTTCGGGGACTCTGCTTTGCAAACCACTAAGGGAGGAAAATGTACCTCCCTTCTATGTTAACATACATGTTAACTTACAGATTTCTGTTCCATAGGAAAGGTAACTCCAAAGATCACAGTGTTGTTGCCCTGTAGGACATGAACACATTTTGTCTCTCTCAATACATAATTCAAAATAACTTTTCCCATGCACTATACATCCTTTTTCTCAAAATGTTCCTTGAACTAGCTTTACCATTTTACTGCTACCCTCATTAATCCAAATAAAATATTTGTCACACATTCCTTTTTCGTTTGCATGAAAGTCATGTTTTCACTCTTTGCAGAGTAAGCTTTGATACAGTATTCTAGTATCTTAGCCCCACACAGCAGTCTACAAATACCGGTATGCTTTCACGCTAGAAGCGTTCCCGGCAAAGTCAGGAGTAATGTGGTTAGGCCAGCAGTTCTCAACTGGGGTGATTTTTTGCCTCCAGTGGGTATTTGGTGATGTCTGGATCTTTGGTTGTCACAACTAGATGGTGCTGCTAGCATTTAGAGGGGACGCCAGGGATGCTGCTAAACAGCCTACAAAGCACAGTTCAGACCCTCATAGCGAAGCATAATCTTGCCAAAAATGTCAATCGTGTGGCTGTTGGAAAACTATTCTGTAAAGATAAAGCATAGGAAACCCATGAGCAGAAAAGTTAGAGAACAAACTAGTGTTTGCCAGTGTCAGTCTAGCTAGGGAATACAAGAGAGGCACCTGAGGGACAATGAGAGATCGCAGAATGCCAGGTGGCTGGTGTGCGTCGTGGAACTTGGTGTGTAGACCAGGATCTCCAGGCCCACCTGGGGCACAGGAGACCCATCAGCTGGTCCCAGCCCACCCACCTGACAAGCACAGAGGGGGAGGCTGCCTCAGGAGGTGGAGACAAGCAGAGAGCCCAGCTCTGTCTGTCCACCTGCCAGCCTGAGAGAAAGCCAGAGTTCAGGAAGATCAAAGTGGGTCGAATTTTTGAGGCAGGGCCTCCTTGGTGGTGCAGGGGTGAAAGAGTGCTATCAAGCTATCGCCAGGCACTGCAGCACGAATTCGATTCGCCCTCCAGGGAGGTGACCCACATGGCGCAGCAGACCACTCCTGCTCCCCTTGTTATAGGGCAGGGAGAGGGGCAGCCCAAACCCTGCAAACCTGCCTATTCTACATGGGTTCTGCCATCCGCCGCATCAACACAAAACATAGGAGACTTTAATGGGAAGGATCTTTAATAAAACTAGGAAACAATACAGGTAAGGCAAAGAGTCTAGTTTCTAGTTTCTAGTCTAGTTTCTAAATGAAGCATCCAGAGTTACCCGTCCCCTCGTGGGTAAAAGTCCATCCAAATGGGATTGGCCCAGAGCAAGGCCCCAAAGCCTGCTACAAGTCTAAAGCATCTTCCAGTGGGGACCCACAGAAAAGGGTCACAAACAACTGGACAAGCCCGGAAGGAAAAGAGCAAAATCAACATCAAGATAAAAGCTGCCATGGTCACCTCCCCACGGGTCTCACCCACATCTGTGTCACCCAGTCCACGACCAAAAGACAAGCAGTTTCTTCACGTGTCTCTAGGCTCTATGCGACTCCTCCAGGTCTCCTTGCTCCATCTTGCTTCCTTTCTCCGTCTCTTCCTGCAGCTTCTTCTCTTCCTGCTCAGCTCCACCCTCCCTTGGGTGGGGCAGGGAACCTGGAACTTCCCCCTTTCCTGGGGACCACCCTGTTACAATCCCCCCTTTTAATTTTTTTTTTTAAAGATTTATTTATTTATTTATACAAGCACTGGGTACAGTCAGAAGCGCAGGAGGGTGAGAGAATTCACCAGAGCCAGAGCGGGGAGCAGAGCAGGCAGAAGGACCAAAGTACACTGCCGAGGGGAGCAGCGGGTGGCAGGAGAGGTCTGTGCGCCATGTGGGCCCCTCCTCTGGTGGCCGGGGAGCAGCCGGGGATCGAACAGGCGCTGCAGAGGCTGCGGGCAGCTTCGCAACCCAGCGCTCAACCGCTACGCCACCGGGGAGGCCCCCCCCTTTTAATTTTTATTCCACCATATCTATGGT